CGAAAGTTGGACGCTTAACCGACTAAGCCACCCAGGCGCCCCTAAATATATATAATTCTAAAACATTTTAGAGATGGTCAAAATTATGAGAAATTTATTATGGCTGAAGTTTATGGATAGATCCATTGAGGTGAAGCTGAAGATCTTATTGAGGACAGACTATGAAAAGCTTCAAAACGCCATGTTTACTGGAAGACTTGTTTCTAGTGGTATAGCAGAGCAAACAAAAACATTTTATACAGAACCAGCAGTCCTATCAGTTGTGTGTTTTGGAAGATAATTTCAGCGAGAGTGAACCTGCTTGTGCCATCTTTTACCATTTTCACTTCTCATAATGTAGTTACAGTTTTAGACCAATTAATATGAATCAAGATGCTATCAAAAAAGGAATACTGTTGCCACGGCACTGATCACACTTTGGAAATCAAGCATTTGGGAATCAGTACTGAGTGTTGAGTGAGAAAGGCCTGTCACCTCTTCGAAATACCATCATCTGGCCAGTACAAGTGGAGTGGTCACAGGAAGTGAGGCACCCTGCTAGGCATCATGGCTCTCCACATGGTGCCAACCAGGTAGAGAGCCTTTCACATGTGAGTTGAAAGCTTATGACAACTTTAGGTATTTATCCAGGCCCCACAATACACTTGGCAGGCAGGAGCACCCTTCACTGTGAGATCCAGGATTTGTCATTTAAGTTGCAGATCTTTTCTTTTGTTGTCTTTCAGACTTTGCCCAGGCCACATTTGGAAAGGAATGTGTCACTGCAGGGAAAGGAGGGAATACAGCAAGCAGATCATTTAGAATAAACTGGGACTCTCTCAAAGGTGTCTTTGGTCTTGACCACTCACAAAACCAGCAAAACATTGCATAAAATCAAAACATAAAAAGTAAATAAACCATCCAAGAGAGAACTATGCTTAAATTATAGCAGAAAAAAATTAGAGCACATTTAAAGAAATGCTCTCTGAAAGGAAAACGTGTTAAAATGAAAGATCAAGTAAATGTCCATTGATAGATGAATGGATCAAGAAGATACACACACACACACACACACACATACATATACATACAATGGAATATTACTCAGCTATCAAAAAGAATGAAATCTTGCCATTTGCAATGACATGGTTGGAGCTAGAGTGTATTATGCTAAGTGAAATAAATCAGCCAGAGAAAGACAAATACCATATGATTTAACTCATATGTGGAATTTAAGAAACAAAACAGATGAACATAGGGGAAGGGAAAAAAAGAGAGAGAAGCAAATCATAAGAGACTCATAACTCTAGAAAACAAACTGAGGATTGCTGGAGGGGAAGTGAGCAGGAGATAGACTAAATGGGTGATGGGTATTAAGGAAGTCCGTTGTGGTGAGCACTGGGTATTATATTTATGTGATGAATCACTAAATTCTACACCTGAAACCAATTTTGCCATATATATTAACTAGAATTTAAATAAAAAGTTGAAATTTTTAAAAAATCCTGTGGTAAAAAACAAAACAAAGAAGTTGGAGGATCACAACAGGTGCTGAAATCCCTTTAAATATTTTCTTTGTTGGGGCACCTGGGTGGCTCAGTCAGTTAAGCATCCAACTTCAGCTCAGGTCATGATCTCATGGTTAGTGAGTTCGACCCTCACATCGGGCTCTATGCTGACAGCTCAGAGCCTGGAGCCTGCCTCAGACTCTGTGTCTCCCTCTCTCTTTACCCCTACCCTGCTCGCTTGCTCACTCGCGCTCTCTCTCTCTCTCAAGAATAAAATAAACATTCTTTAAATTTTTTTAATATTTTCTTTATTAGAAAAGAGAAATTATAACCCTTTTGGAAGGTTAAATCCCTTTTTTAAACTCATTAACCCAATGATAGATTTTCTGTATTGATTTTTTCATTCAGTAATCACATGTAAATGCCCCCATTATGTCCCAGGCACTGTGCTAAGTTTAATGATACTTTTATTACATTACCTCAGTAATGTTGTCACATCTGCAGACTCAATGGCACAATGTTCCTGAAATGGCATAGAGTCCAAAAGCTCTCCTAAAAATTGTCCAGGGCTATGTCATCATGTCAGCCAATCTGTGTTATCATTTTAGGAAAAAGTTAATTTTTAGTTTAAGTTCATATTTTTTTAATATCTTTGGTATGGAAACACGTCAACTAGTTGGCACACTAACATGCTTAGTTTGCAACTTGAAATATATTAAGCCTGAAGTCTTCTTTCCAGAAGGTCTTTCTGGTACATCTTTTTCCATCTTCTCGATTCTGTGACTCCCAAGAGCCCTCCTAGTTTAACTGCTCTCAGCCTTCTATATTAATACTAGGCTGCAGTGATGACCATCCCTGGCTTCCCCCTCCAGTCTGCCTCCTCCCCTCCCTGCTGCAGCGGCCCACAGAGGCAAAGCAGCTTCCTGCACTCACGGCCACAACATTCGTTATGCCGAGGCCAGACTGGTCAAGGACCTGCACCAAGACTAGTCCCTGGAGCAGCCTTCATGGAGGTTGGGATAGTTCTCTTGATCCCTCAGCTGGAGCCATGACAGTCTTTCCAGGCTCCCATGTTTGACATGGATTGTTTCTGGTGACATAGTCTCTACCCAGACCATTGAAACACAAATATATTCAATCCTGACCCTGGAAGCATGGCAAGCCTCATGGCCCTTACAACCAAAATACGAAGGAAAACCTAACGCTCTTGGCTCTCTCAACTGTTTTAAAGACAAATAATAGTTACACCAGTAAAATTGTCATTTTAAGTGAATTTCCTAATTTAAGGAAGGAAAACATAAAAGCATAAGGCTTTTCTGCCAATCTACTTCAGATCAGAGATTCTCTCTCCTTGGGCTAGTATGTCTCATTACTCGAGGACAGCAGTCATAAAAGGAAGGCAGCATGGTAACTGTTTAATGGACATTTTCTCAGAAATTAAAGTGCCGCTTTTCAAAAGACAGCCTATCACTTTGTGGGGCAGGCCCCAGGGAACTGCGCACACGCTGCCGCCTCTGCCGCACACACAATGCCCAGGTAACACACGGCACCAGCATCACGTGTTCTTTGTTGTTTGAATTGAAGTAAGTGGAATGTACTGCTCAGTGATCAAAGCCTTTGACTCTCCTATAAAATCCATCAAAATGCTCTTTATTCATGATAATTTCCCCATCTTCAGCAAATGCCATTCCAAAGTATGGTAGAGAGACATATCTCTTTCTTCCAACATGTGTTGCTTTGATTTTGTTTTTGTTTTTTTTGAGTTTTGAGGTTGAGGGTTGTATTTTTGGGGGGTGGTATTGTTTAGCTGTTTGAAGTTTTCCACCCAGTGTTTTGGGGGCCTACTGACAAACTATTATGGATCTCAGATGTTCATGTTTGGTCAGGATCTATAGTCTTTTTTGTTTGTTTGTTTTATGACTCCACTGATAGTAGCCATCTGTACAGGAAAAATGGATTTTAGTTCATAAAGGAAGAAAGAAATATTACAGCCCTTTGATCATTAACTTTCCCTTCCCCACCTTTTTCTAAAGATCCAGGGTTCCTCCCTCAACACCAGACACAAACGATAGTCTGGTTAAGGAATCACTACAGCTCAGGCAAGGCATAAATGTGCTGATGTCTGATGTTGGAGAATTTTGTCAGACAGTAAGTATGGACCATGACATTGGTGGAAGAAATAGAAACCACTAGGGAAGGTTATGTTCCAGCTCCATTTTCCTCTAACCCTGCAGTTCAAACCAATGCCTCTATTTTCAGCTGTATCCTACAAGATAGTTGCTTGTCATTCTTCTAGGAGAAGCAAGGCTCCAGTGAATATTAACCCCCCTTCCTGCCCCCACACTGAGGATTTATGAGAATCTGTCCTTGGGTAAAACAATCGTCAAAGATTTAAAGGGTGGATGAAAGGGTCCTTCACCTTATCCAGGCTGCTTTGCACTTAAGGCCATAAACGCTGACAAGCTCCCCCGCCCCTGGCCTTCACTGATGTCCAGTCCTGGTGAAGCAGTAGTCACAGTTGGAAGTGGCCAGCAGATATTTGCTGACTCAACATTAAAAAGTGATCACTGCATTTGCTGGGTTCAGAATTTGACCTCAAAAGAACAGATTCAGGAATGTTGCAATACAATTTATAAAGGTCTTTGAAGATGTTGAATATGATGTGAGTACCAAAACTCTTTTTGGCTCAAGCACTCCCTTGGGTGGATATGTGTTATTTGAATTTTTGTGGTTAATTACTATTAGAAAGTGTCAATTTTTCCTGTTGTCTTTGAGTATATAATGACTTCTGGCAAATTTCAGAATGGATATGAACATTGAGCATAAATATGAAATGCTGTTGCTGTAAGTCACTGCACGGGGGTTACATTTTAAAGTCTAGAATATATTAAAATGTGTAAGGGATGGATCCTCAGTTTTTTAAAAAAAGAGTTCAAAGGAAAGTTACTGTTTATAAAGTAAGGCAGTTCCTGCAAAGACTCCAGCACTCAACTCCATGGGCAGGAAGAGGTAGGAAACAGGAGTATAACTTTGATGATCCCACAGCCTCCAGAACTTTCCAGTAGGCCATAAAAGCACAGAAAAGAATGCTGTGCCCTTCCTCACGCCCACTTCCTAAAATAAAGCAGACATTTTCAATCTTTACAAAATATTTCAAGCATTTTGGGTTTCCTTGCATTTTTGTAGACGATTGTATTCTACAGGGTTTATTTGCAAAGCCATTCCCAGAAACACCCTTCCTTCTAAAATGGCCACCAAATAACGAGTGCCCGGCTACCAAGGAGCACCAGCTTCCATTCCCAATTTTATTTATATACGCATAATTTTTTTTTTAACCATTAGGATGCCGTTGACCGGATGATGGCCCTTCAGGTTCCAGGTGACTGTTGACAGACAGGCAGCCTGTGTGTTTCTTTTCTCCTTAGGTCGACTGACAGCTTGCTTGGTGGTGTTTTGTGTTTGCTCATTTGATTTTCCTTCCCTCTCCTTCCCTGGGGCCTCATGGGCTGGCAGCGCCGTGGTCCAGCAGGCCAACTGCAGAGCCTCCGTGCCTTCCAGCAAGGGCAGCAGCAGCGGCAGCAGCAGCAGCGGCAGCAGCTCTTCTAGTGACTCAGAGAGCAGCTCGGGGTCTGACTCGGAGACGGAGAGCAGTTCCAGCGAGAGTGAGGGCAGCAAGCCTCCCCACTACTCCAGCCCCGAGGTAAGAGCTGAGCGGTGTGGGCCTGAGCCCCTCCTTGCCATGCCTGTCTCTCTCTCTTTCTCTCTCTCTCTCTCTCTCTCTCTCTTTCTCTCTCTCTCCCTCTCTCTCGTGAGCACAATAAATCCCCAGTGTCTGGTTCTCACACCTCCCTCCTCCTCCACCCCCTCCCTTCTTCCTCAGACAGTGGAACTGGCCTGGAGGCCACCACCTCTTGGCAGCCAGTCAGGGTTTGTTTGGGTTCATCATCTTCCCCATGCTGTCCCCTCCTCATGGTTCTCCTAATTACAGAGCTCCCTTTGAAGTACAGAAACTTCATCTTTCCTTGTCCAGAAATCTCTGTCTCAACTTTCAGAAATGTCCAAGTACGCTGTACACATCACCGCCTGGAAATAACCTCTAGATCGGGTCTCCCTAAAGGCTGGCGGAGACAATAACTAGACAGGGCAGTGCATCGCCTGGGAAGAGTGACCACCCATGAATCAGGGGCAAAGGAGTGTTATGGATTAGATATGGTTAGAATCCTACCTTTTAGCAGTTTGTCACAGATTAGAACAAGGGCTATAAATTATTATATATTTATATTATATATATAAAATATATATTAATAAAACCTTCTTAACTGTGTTTTCTTTGTGAAAATATAAAAAGAAAAATTAGCATCCACCTACAAATAATAATGAAACTTTTTATAGCCATGATGAGTATCTATGTGGAAGATTTAGGTGCCTCATATAAAAGCATTATAAGGTACCAATAAAAACCATTGCTATTTCTACTTTAAAGCAGAAAGGGGGAAATTAAATAGTAATTCAGTGCATGGAGATTCTTGGGAGAGGGTTGAAAGAAAATTTCTCAAGTCCCTGGAACTGTAAAGAAAGAATAAAATACAGTTTCTCCTTGGGTGTATAAACATTTGGCATTACCATGGATCAAAGGATTTAAGATTTTTTTGCCCTCTGTACCACTTTGGGGCCCAAATTTCTAAATAGGCTCTGAAATAAAACCAAAGCCACTTTTGCAAACCCTGGCAGTGAATGGGAAGCACCATTAAGGGTCTGCACGATCTACATTTCCAGTTTTGTACCTGTGCCTCACACCACCACACCCAAAAGCAACTGTGTTTTTAACTGGAGTTCATAGACTGGCTCCTAAATTCCCTCAGGTCTTTCCCCTTCTAGTCTCCTCGTCTCAGGAGTCTAAGGCTTTTTGCAGAAGCATTGAAAATTTCCCCCCAGTGCTCATTTCTTCATTAGCACCTTTCTGCTCCACACTGAGATCTCTCCATTCGTCCCAAAATAAACCATCTCACTATATCTCTTGCCTTTTTCCTTCCTTTCCATGATGCTCGCCTCCTCCCCCATCTCTCTCTCCCTTTTCCTGTCTCTATCTACCTCTTCTATACAGGAAGGCCCTTAGCAACATCAACCTATAAACGCCACAGGTTGATATATCCCTGCTATTCCTTCCTCACAATTTCATTCATTCACTCACTCATTTGTGTTCATTTGACAAATATTTACTGAGCATCTGCCACAAACATGGTGCTTGGTTCTGGAAGACAGCAGTTGCCTGTAAGGAAAGGTCCCTGTCTTCATAGAACTGGCATTCTAATGGGAATAATTCAAAACAAAAAAGTACAGGAGGTAAAACAAGGAGTTGAGAAGCCATACCAATGCAATAATTTGTTGAGAAATTCCAGAATATTTAGTTAGAAGCAATAACTGGGTACCAGGGACATCGCAAGAGCCAACAGGGCAGTGGAGATGGATAAAAAGTGTTAGTGTCCCTGAACAACCCCTCCTTCAGTCCCTTTGTGACTCTGAAAGTTAAATTCATGAATGTTGGATCTTATTTTCATGCTGAAATGTGAATCCTGGAGCTCCTGGATAAGGCTAAACCTCATCTAAGAGAGGTACAGTTATAAAGTGCTTAGAGCAAATTCTTTCTAAATGTCACTGAGATAATTACAAAGACTTGAACTCCTTGGTGATGAAAGGAAGCTCTCGTGGAAGGAGCTTCCAGCAGCTATCCAGGGCCCCTTACCAAGGAGGGGAGCACAAGTCAAATAAACCAGGCCTAAAAGTTGAGGTTGCCTGAAGCCACAGTTTTCAACTCCCTGCTTCTCTGTACAGACAGAATGAAGTGGCAAGCAATGTATTAGCCACGCTGCCTGTTACTTCTTTCTGCTGGAAAGGAATGTATCAGTTGGAATAAAAGTAAGATTTAACATTTTCCCCGTGATTAATACAGACACACACCCCTTAGAAATAAAATGAGTCTGCAGAATGAAAATCACAAAAAAGACAGGAGGTAGCATTCTATGGCTGACCCTCCCCAGTGTCTCCGTTTTACTGTGACTCGGCTGGCCCAGGTTACCTTACGGAGAGCAGTGAGACTCGTTTTCCTGAACCCCACAAGACAATCAGACTCTGTATATTCACACATCTCACATTCCACTGCACAGACAATTCATGCGGCTGCTTTGAAGCAAAATGCTCCTGGCCTTCACTTACCTACTGCTACCATCCCGATGTGGGAGTAGAAGGAGGCACTCATGATGGTCCAAAGCACCTGCATACTCCCCTTCAACGTGCCAGAGCCGGAAACCCACTGTGCCCATCTGGGTTTCATCTGAACTGCTCTTCATGGCTGTGGTTGTAGAAAGCCACTGTATTTTACATGAATCATTATAGGTAATATCATATCTGCAGCTAGCATGGAAGAGCCACTGTGAACAGTGTTTCCATACTACAGATAGCCTGATATTTAGCTGTTCTCAGCCTAATTTTCTTCACTTGAGTTTTACCTTCTTTCCCAGCATGGTGCATTCTTTCATGTGTGAGCTTTCCAAGGGGAAGCACCTTCCTCTGCTAGTATATGGAGCTCCCTAGAGCGGTATTCCACGAGTAATAGGTGCTACATGGGAAAAAGAAACCCTAGTCACATGATTTTGAGGAGTGTCAGGGTAAAGTCAGTTTAACCCATCTCTTTAGGGCAACAGCCAGCCCTTAAATATTGTTCACGTAAACTGTTTTCCACTGTGGCATTTCCCAAACTTATCTGACCCTGGAAACTTTTCTTTATGGAATATATGAACTGAATGCACATTTTGGAAAATGCTGTCCTAGATGGTTCCTGAAAACCAGCTGAAATATGATGCACATCACTCATTGATTAAACAGGCTTCTCCTCAATTAGGCATCTGTAGGGTCCATGGCAGTGGGTGCTATGAAGGATGTAGATGAAGCAGGGCCTAAAGCCCACAGTGGAGAGCTTGTACATGAATCAGAAGGAAGAGTAATCAGCGAGGAGAGTCATGACTGAAAATACAAAGCAGGCAGCAAGCACATAGACATCACCAAGCGAAAACGATAAGGAAGTCGGCCATCAGGAAGTCAGCCATAGGCACCAGCAAGCCAGTGGTTGAGGGCTCTAAGCCCTGAGTTTCTCCTCCTCCACTGCCACTTAGCTCTTCACCATGAAGCCTCTTTGGCCACAATTGCCTCATCCCCAAAATGGCAGGTGTTCCTGTCCTACCTAATCTGTGAAGCTGTTCTGAGTAATAAATGATATAATTTGAGTTAAAGGTCATTGTAAGCTGTTCTTATTAGGATCAAAGCACAGCAATTGGCCTCCCTAACCTGTTACAGACACTACAAACAGTACAAAGAAGCAGAGTCCAGGCCTCCTGAAAGAAGTGTTTGACTTTGTTGGAGACCCAAGACGCATACATGTGAAATCAATATGAACATCACAAGACTATGCAGTTAAAGAAAAAAAAAAGTCTATGTGGTTGTGGATAATAAAGGCCAACAGGTATTGTTTGGAAAGTTAGTGGTGTTCTCGAAAAATTAGATCTAATTCCGTCATTTTAGGATGAAGACTAACATTTCTCAAAGGAATGATGTCCCCCTTTCATGAGGCTATGCCAGTGAGTAATGGGAGATTAGGCAAAGCCACAGATTAGGTCCTTTTTCTTTTTTAGTTGTTTTTATTTGAGTAGATGACACACAATATTACATTAGTTTCAGGTGGACAACATAATGATTCGACAAGTTTAAACGTTATGCTATTGAGAATCTTTAAACTTAGGCAAATATGGGTTTAGTTGAGTCTTGATAGTGCCTGGTAGCTCTGCAGCTTTGGACTTGTTGCTTCACCTCTCTGAGCCTCATCTAAAAATTAGGGGTGACAATATTTATTATCTGTATGGATTAAATTAGATGCTATCTGTAAAGTGGGAGGCACATTGTAGTTGTTCGGCAATGAAAGATGACTGTAAGATAATAGATGCTCTTGAAAAACAGCCGAAGGCATTTGGATTTCCTTGGAGAGGCAATAGGAGGTCATTGCAGATCCTTAAAGAAAGGGAGTGTGAGTTGGTGACGTGTTGAAAATGGTACTTTAAACTGATGTTTTCAGCTGTGGAATGCAGAAAAAAATGGCCCAAAAGCACATCAGGCAATGGGCCCATACTAAATTTATGAAATCCTCCCCTTCACTGTTAATGCTTGCATCAAGAAGTTCTAGTGTGAATCTCCCCCTGTGCAGCTGCACTTTTGGCCACAGGTAGTTGTCTGTGTTCTCTCACATGAGACGTGTGGGCTGTGGAAGGCCCAGGATGGGGGGGTGGGGGTGGGGGGGGAGCTAGTGTTAAACATGGCGGCAGGGCCAGTGTGAGCGCATGCTCAGCCATAAATGTTTTCACCTTCTCCCAAAATGTGTCCCCTCTCTGCCAGAGGCCCCTTCAGCATCTATTCATTTTGACCATGTCCCATTACACTAGGGAAGTGGAGGCACACAAGTCACCAATTTGCCAGTGGTCACATAGTGAGGGAAATATGGGTCAAGGAGACACTGTCAGAAGCCATAAATTGTTCATCACCACATGAGCTTTCAGCCACACTCAGCTAAACCCAGGGAAGGCGAGGTCTTCCCCTTGGCAACAAAGCTGTTCTGTGTCCTGCTGTCCTGCTTTCTCTGTTGCATGCATCTTCCACTGCAGTGTGTACCAGGTGTGCTCTTAGGATTCCTGTGTTCCCTTTCTTTGGACAAGCCAAAATAAGGCAAGGTCACAATTTATGTAGAACAACCCGGAAGTGCAAAATGATAACTTTTTGTTCTTTTGCATCTTGCTCTAGAGCCCTGGTTCCTTTGGTACATGAAAACCAACAAAGCAAAATGTCAAGTCAAAGGCCAGACTCCTCATTGGGGCCATGAGGGTTTCCCCTCCCACACCTGTGTCCCAGGATGAAGCCTCTCCATCCTCACTGCCCTGGGAGAAGGGCCCCAGATCCTCATGCTGGTCTCTGCTGAAATATCACTTGTCCTTCCCAGTCACTGGGCACCCTGTGCTAGTGTTCCCCGGTGTGCAATTGGTCTCATCTGTTTGGGGGGAATCAGCAGCAGGGTGTGCATGGTCCCTGCCACAGCTCTGGTGCCTGGTACCCACACTCTGTGTCCTTGCATCTTGGCCCCAGGCCCCTCTGGCCCATCAGAGACTTCCCATGTCCTAAGCTATGTCCCAGGCTCCCCCTACCCCAGCCGGGGCAAGATTGCCTGTCCCCACTCCCCTCAGATCCTTGCAGCATGTGCTTATGCCCCAAGTTCTGCTCTTAATCTGGACCTCTCTGTTGAAAGACAAATTTTGAGTCATAAAAGCAAGCTTTAAGAAATTATTATGTTAAAAATTTTTTTTAAAAAAGTTTTTCTCCTGCAAGGAAGACTGATTTGCTCTGGCCTTTAACCAATTAAGTTTGAAATGCAAAATTAAGCAATGTCTTCTTTATTCCAGGCTAGAAATTAATTTCCTGAAACAATGGATGCCACAAATTCAGAGCGTGGGAGGCCACAGGGAAGGAAAAATACATCACCTAAAATAGTGGAAATATTTTCCCCACTTCATGTATAGTCACAAATTGAAAACACTCTGGCTAAAGCTTTACATTTAACCGATATACCTCTTTTCTATTAATAATCATAGATGGTGGATATTGGACTTTTATTAGAAATCAACAGCATTTACTCCCTTTTTATAAGCCATAACCTCTTTATGAGCCATAGATACGTAGAGACTTGAATGAAAACTGTAGACTCTCAGAAAAGTGCATCCACGCAGCATTTCACAATTCTGTTTCAGGGCATTCATTGACTTTCTGGAACCAATCCATAGGGCAAAGTTTAAAACCTATAATGGCTATGATTTGCTCTAAGTTAGCAAAGCTGCTTGCAGGAAAAGTTTTTACCATCACTTCCGTATCTGAAACACTTCCAGCAAAGTGGGATGGAAGCAGGTTGAGGATGTACTAACCAAGTCCAGCTGCCAAAGCATATGGGGCACACAGAGTTCCCTTTGAAGCAGGAGTTCTCTACCACTAAGCAACCTATCTCCTCAAAGTTATAGCTTCTACTGTTAAATAACTATGCCCTACTTGCCTTCACCATGGAAATCATATGTTAATTGCTTAGGATTATAGGCTCCATTTAGCCTCTCTTTTTTTAATTTTTTAAGTGTTTATTTATTTTTGAGAGCAAGAAAGACAGAGCATGAACAGGGGAGGGGCAGAGAGAAAGGGAGAGACAGAATGTGAAGCAGGCTCCAGGCTCTGAGCTGTCAGCACAGAGGCCAACGCGGAGCTCAGACTCATGAACCTCGAGGTCATGACCTGAGTGGAAGTCGGACCCTCGACGGACTGAGCCACCCAGGCGCCCCAGCCCCCTCTTTTAATTTCCTCTAAATTTTTTAGTCTTAACTAAATGAGTGCTTTAACACTCAGGGACTCCCACTATTCCCCAGTTAACTTTCCCGGAACCTCAAGTTTATGTATTTATGTATAATTATAAGAAATATACATTCTGTAACACTCAAAAGTGCTGGAAATGGGTTCTGATGAACCACAGGGCTCTCTCCTTATTTTTTCCAAATAGTCTTCATACTACGGCGCTGACATATTAAGTGGGACAGAAAAGGGCCCCCATCCCAGCGTCCTGCATCCTGTGTGCCAGTGCAGCTTTGCCACACACACCCACTGCTTCCATTTTCCTTTTGCTTGCAGCCCATTGTTTTTCTGCTCATACACCTGGGGGGTAAGTGAAGATTAAAAACAGCCAAGACTGTTTTCAGTGAGTCTAATAAAAGATGTTTTTGTTTGTTTCCGGTTTTCTGCTTTTAGGCTGAACCAGCGTCCTCTAACAAGTGGCAGCTGGATAAATGGCTGAACAAAGTTAATCCCCACAAGCCACCTATCCTGATCCAAAATGAAAGCCACGGGCCAGAGGGCAATCAATACTACACCCCAGCCAAAGACGAAGTGCAAGACTGTGGGAAACTTCCTGATGGTTGCCAAACCAGCCTGAGAGAGAAGGACCTCAAGAGCGCCTGCAAAGAGGAGCAGAGGCCAAGGACAGCGAACAAGGCCCCGGGGAGTAAAGGAGTGAAGCAGAAGTCCCCGCCTGCGGCCGTGGCCGTGGCCGTGACCACAGCTGCCCAGCCGCCCGCGGTGCCCAGCACACCGGCCGAGAGCACTCCTGCGCCCGCCCGGAGGTCTGGGGGCAAGAAGCCCACCAGGCGCACGGAGAGGACCTCCGCCGGCGACGGCGCCAACTGCCACCGGCCTGAGGAGCCCGCAGCTGCCGACGCGCTGGGGGCGAGCGTGGTGATCCCCCCGGAGCCCACCAAAACCAGGCCCTGCGGCAACAGCAGAACAAGCCACCGCAAGGAGCTGCGCTCCTCGGTGACCTGCGAGAAGCGCCGCACGCGGGGGCTGAGCAGGATCGTCCCCAAATCCAAGGAGTTCATAGAGACAGAGTCGTCATCTTCCTCCTCCTCCTCGGACTCGGACCTGGAGTCGGAGCAGGAGGAATACCCTCTGTCCAAAACGCAGGCCGTGGCCGCTGCGGCAGCCGCCCCCTCCGGAAGTGAGCAGAGACTAAAGGAGGCTGCCAGCAGCATCAGCAGCAGTGGGGGTCCCCGGGCCCCCGTAGGCTCCATCAACGCCAGGACCACCAGTGACATTGCCAAGGAGCTGGAGGAGCAGTTCTACACGCTGGTCCCTTTTGGCCGGAACGAACTTCTCTCCCCCTTGAAGGATAGTGATGAGGTCAGGTCTCTCTGGGTCAAAATTGACCTGACCCTCCTGTCCAGGGTCCCAGAACACCTGCCCCAGGAGCCGGGAGTCTTGAATGCTCCTGCAGCCAAGGATGCTGAGAGCACACAGCCCAGCCATCCATCTGACACTCCGGCCGAAAAGGCTTTGCCAAAATCCAAGAGGAAACGCAAGGTAGGCCTGGGGCTGAGGGCATGGCGGGGACAGAGGGCTTTCCCTTGACTTGTGGGGAAGTGGTAAAGCCCATGTGGCTGCTGGCCTGTAATGGACAGACAGCAGTTTTATGTGTGTCCTTACTCAACAAACATTCCTTAGTACTTCGTGTAGGCCACATACTTAAGAACCTGACATAGATTAACTCAGTTGCATCCTTAGAACCGCTTGATGAGGGGAACACCATTAATATCCCCATTTTATTATTATAATCAAGCCCTGTCCCACTGCATGTTGAAGTGGGCATACTGAAAATCTGTATCAAGCATGTACAGAGGCAAGTTGGATGCTGCACAGTAGAAAAGCTAAACACATGGTGAATCCCACCCTTTGCTGGAAGTGACAGAGTGGCATTGATCAATCATGGACGTAGGAAGCCAGTAGCCTCATAGAATTTAAGGCTGTGACTGGGCTGAAGCCTGAAACAGAAGTGACAGACCCCAGACCATGGGTGGATGGGCCCAGTGAGAGGAGCATTAGCTTCAGAACCAGCAGCTTCTCCCAGTAGCCTTGACCAAGGAGAACTCTGTGGTGGAGAGGAACTGGAAACAGGTCTCTAAAGAGGAGGGACAGTGAGTAATCAGAGAGCCAGGAGGATGTGGCACCAAAGCAGGGAAACAGGATGCCCAAGGAAGGCATGGAGTAAGAAAGGTGGCCCAAGTCACAGGGAGAGCAGACCCAGACATTCAGCAGTGTTTGCAGACTTTTGAGCGCAGGAATGATATAATCATAAATTAGAATCAATTTTGAGGAGTTTTATCCCCTCCTGTTATTGTTACTTTCAAAAGTAACTTGGGCCACAGCGAAAAACAACATGGGTAACAAACCAAAGATTGCAATATTATGGATTGTTCCAAATTTAGGGCAAAATCGTTAACAATAGTTAATGTTCGTATGTTCCCACGAGAGATGCTTTTCTAAACACTTTGTACATATTAAATCATTCAGTCCTTATAACTTTATGAACCAAATATTTTTGTCATGACCATTTTATAGATTAGGAAACTGAAGTTCAGAGAGCCTAAAGCATCTTGCCCTAGGTTCACATAGGTAATAAGGGGCAGAGCCAGGAATGAATCCAGGATGTCTGGCTCCAGGGTCTTCCAATAAGAAGTTAGTCTGAGGTTTGTGTAGTAGTTTCCCCACAGGGCCCCTGCCCAGAAGGGCTCTATGCTTGGAATTTAATGCTTGCAGTTGCCATCTTGAAATTCATTTTATCTCTGAAATTGTGTTTTTAAGTGAAGCGAGATGGGACAGTAGAGCATGACTGGGGTCCCATGGAGCTTTGACTCACATGTGGTCCCACCCCCTGCCTGTTTGCCCTGGGGCAGGTTGTGCCCAGCCCTTTGGCCCCTTTGCACTCCAAAGTTAGCAAAACTGCATACAGGGAAAATTTTCATCATCACTCCCATACTGAAACACTTCTGGCAACATGGTGAAGCACATCCAGTCACCATCTCCTTCTAGGACCTATGCCACACCCCCAGGCCCCCAGGAGACAAGGCGCAGGCGCACTGATAGGGTCTGAGCGACATCTCACCCAACCCTAATCCAGCACCTGAATGGTCTCAGGGAGGAAACTATAGTCTGCTAGCAGTTGCAGGCTCACCTTGGGTTGCAGGTTGGACTGTGGAAAGAGAAAATTCCTGACTGGACTTCACCCCTAGAGAACTGGCAGGCAGGGGGAAACCTCTGCCGTTGGGCCACGCACATGCATACAGTTGCAAGACTGACCCAGACACTTCAGTCATCCTGCACCCCCTTGTATCCCCATGTCTCAAGGAACAAAAGATGGATGAAATGGTAAAGAAATACCACCATGATAGATCAAGAGAGAGACTTCAACACCCAGGGAAATGTTCTCTACTTTAGTACTTTATATTACTCCTTTCCTGCTTTTTTTCAAATTTATTTTTTGAGGTGTAATTGATATAACATTAGATTAGTTTCAGGTGTGCAGTGCAACAGTTCAGGTTTTTTTATATATTGCAAAATGATTATCACAAGAAGTCCAGTCCACTATGCATAGCTATAATTTTTTTTTCATGAGAACGTTCTTATTAACTATAGTCACTGTGCTGTATATTACATCTCCCTGACTTATTCATTTTATAACTGAAAATTTGTACATTTTGACCTCCTTCACCCATTTTGCCCACCTCTCACCCACCACCCAGGCAACCACCAATCTGTTCTTTCTATATAAACTCAGGCTTTTTTTAGTTTTGGGTTTTGTTTTGTTTTGTTTTTTTTCAGTTTGGGTTCCACATTTAAGTGAGAGCATATGATATTTATCTTTTTCTGTCTGACCTATCTCACTTAGTAAAATGCCCTCAAGTTCTATCCACACTGTTACAAATGGCAGGATTTCATTTTTTATAACTAAGTAATATTTCATTATACATACAGATACACACACACACACACACACAAACACACACACACCACGTCTTCTTTATCCATTCATCAATTGATAGACATTTAGGTTGTTTTCATGTTTTGGCCGTGTGAACATGGGGTTGAATAATATCTTTCAAGTTAGTACTTTCCTTTTCTTCAGATAAATACCCAAGGTGGAATTACTGGATCATCAGGTACTTATAGTTTTAATTTTTTGAGGAACTTCCATACTGTTTTCTGCAGTAGGTAAACCAGTTTGTATTCCCACCAACAGTACAGGAGGGTTCCCTTTTCTCCATATCCTTGCCAACACTTGAGTTTTTTATTTTAGCAATTCTGACAAGTATGAAGTGATCTTACTGTGGTTTTGATTTGCATTTGCCTGATGATTAGTGGTATTGAGGATCTTTTCATTTATTTGTTGGCCATCTGTATGGCTTCTTTGGGAAAATGTCTGTTCAGATTCTCTACCCATTGTTTAATTGGGTTGTGTTTTAACTATTGAGTTGTATGAGTTCTTTGTATGTTTTGGATATTAACCCCTTGTCAGACAGATACTTACAAATATCTTCTCGCATTCCATAGGTTGCCTTTTTGTTTTGTTGATGGTTTTCTTTGCTGTGCAGAAGCTTTTCAATTTAATATAGTCCTACTTGTTTATTTTTGCTTGTGCTGTCTTTGTTTTGATGTCAAATTCAAAAAATTATCTCCAAGACCAATGTCAAGGATCTTTTCGTGCTTTTAAAAAAATTTTTTTTAATGTTTTTATTTATTTTTGAGAGAGAGAGAGTGTGTGAGCAGGGGAGGGTCAGAGAGAGAGGGAGACACAGAATCTGAAGCAGGCTCCAGGCTCTGAGCTAGCTGTCAGCACAGAGCCTAACACGGGGCTCAAACCCATGAACCATGAGATCATGACCTGAGTGAAGTCGGACGCTTAACTGACTGAGCCACCCAGGCACCCCTTCTGCTTTTTGACAAAGGGGCCCAGTGTTTTCATTCTGCACTAAATACTGCAAATTATGTAGTCGGCCTGGCCTTCTGGGTAACCATAATCAGATGACCTTACCTTCTCTGTAGTTCACTTTCTTCTTTTGTGAAGTAGTGGTATCTTTGCAGAGGTGGTATAAGGTTCAGACCATATAATTCAGTAATATGGGTTAGCTCACTACTTCTCTACCCCTCTTCCCTCTTGTTTCCCTCTAAATACCCTGCCCTCCCCCATTACATGTTGGTTTGATGGGTAAATGGATAAACTGATGGAAAGTGAGAAGGAGAGAGAGACATAGTTGTACAAGAAATGTACAGAGCTAGAAATTGGTAAACATAGATTGGAAATACATATAGCTGTATAAACATATGTAAATAGAGACATGCAGAAAGACATACAAATTCTATAATATTCTATATCTAAATAATTTTATTACTCAGCCTTTTTAAAAATTTTTAACTTCTGAAACTTCATTTACACTAAGCCTGACATCCAGCTCTCCTCATAGAATCTAATGAATCGTCATTAAACATAGACACAGGGAAGTGAAAGAACATTTTCATAGCAATTGTCACTAAGATTGTTAAGACCCCAGTACTAGGACATTATAGACCCAGCTACCAAAGAGTCTAGCCCTGCTGGGATCCTGGAGCAGAAGTTTGGATTCAGAGCTTTGGTTTGGGCCTTCCTTGGGTACACTGTTTCAGTAAGAGCATCTGGGATCCTGTGACAGAAGCTGTGTGACAATCCCAACTAGAGAGAGGTCAAAGCCTTTCTGTCTTGGAAACCAGTGCTGGTCTCCTGGAAAACACTGCTGAGAGCACTGAATATACTATTACTGTTTTCCTGCTTTCTCGCCAACAGTGGAACTTTGTTGAGTGCCTTTGCCATTGTACCCTAATACACACATAGTTAAACATGATCATGGAAACAAGAATGAACCAAAATACCATTTTCTAAAAGGGTACATTAAGGATTGTAAGATGTCATGGGATAGTAATTGTTCACTAGAATTAAGACACCAAGAGGTAACAACCTTTGCTTGAAATTCATAAAAGCCATTATGGCTGTAAGCCCAGGATATGGTTGTCATACTTTATTCAGATACTAAGAAAGGCCAAAATGAGAAACCCTGAAAGCACAGTGTGAATTCAGAACAAGTCTTCTCTGGAGAGCTGACTCAGATGTGTTGATGGTAGACCAATTTTCATCATTCACAGTGTTCCCTCCCTAATGTTGATCATGGGGTCACACTCTTCCTCTCAATAAACTGTCAATAAACAAATGTCAAGATTTCATCCTTGTTGGTGGAGGAGCTGACTGGGAATCTAGAACAGGGGCCAAGAACACTGCAACCATACTGCTGCCTGGGATACTCTCCAGGGAAGCCAAGTAAGCTGGTCTCCGGGGAGGCCTCACTCTGCGGAAGGTTGTGATAGGAGCTCGTTATGATCCCTTGAAATCCAAAGCTGATTGATTTTTGCTTATCCCCATGCAGTGTGACAACGAAGATGACTACAGGGAGGTCAAGAAGGCCCAGGGAGAGAAAGAGAACTCTTCACGACTGACCACCTCTGCAAATAATACTTTATCTGCGAACCACTGCAGCATGAACATCAACAGGTATGCATGTTCCCCTGAAGGTACCGGCGAGGCTGAAGGATCTCTGCATCTGAAAGTCGTGTATCATATGGGAGGAGAGTCCCACTGTTTAATGACTGCTCTGGTCTGGGTCTTTAGACTTGATTCTCTTGATTTAAACTAAGGCAAATAATTATGCCTGAATGTGTGCTCATGTCACAGCCCTGGGTACAGTGTCAGGACTTCTCTGTAACAAAAGACTGGTTACTAGTTAACACTCAGTTCTGTGCTCTCAAAGACACACTTTCCCTCTGAAAACTTAGTAACTGAATTTTCAAACCATGATTTTAATAGCCATTAAACCCGTAAGAACATTAAGCTTATACACAGAGGGACAAAGAAATATAAACTTGGGTGTCGTCTCTTGGATATAGACTAAAACTGTGGCATTAGACAGGATCTGTGTCTCTAAGTTAAACAGCACCCAGTCACTCCTCTAAAGGGGTTCCAGATGGACCCACATTGCACCAAATCTCCTCCGTGACAAATGGCTTTCTAGCAAGGCAAGTTCCCCGATATTTATTAGAAGTGAGTAGCTTATCATCAGTCATAGAAGCTCTTTCCATTTAGAAATACCACAGCTCAGAAACCACTTTTCCTCTGCTAAGACACTCCTCACTCTCCCTGACTGTGTACATGGAATTTTTAAGGGGAGATTAATGTTTCAGCACAACACATAAAAATGTAAACTGAAAGGTTAGGAGAAGATGTAGAGCAGTAGTAAAACTCGGAGAGGAAATTGGAGAGCGAGGGCACATGAGCAGTGGCCCACTGCAGTGTCAGAGTCACCTTGGGAAGGAAGCAGAAGACTCTTGAAGGTCTGAACAAAAGGGAGTGCACGGGCGCAAGATGGCCTAGTCTGCAGTGCTCTGTGCCTAGTGGGTGGTATCCCAAAATACTGAGAAAATGCAAATGGGGGGCATGTGGTTCCAAAATGTCTTAAATGTGTGATATAGTTGTATACATGCTTCTTTGTTAATGCACTGAAAATCTTTCTAGCAGATCTAGTGACTGCCATGATTTCTAAGCAGCAATGAATATAAATATTTCAGATGTCTGCAACAACTATAACATGACACGAAAATGTCCGTGATTTCTCCTGATGACACAATCACAGGCATTGCTAATAATAATACTCCTGCTAAACCACTACTCTAGAAATGTTCAGTTTCAGTGAGAAGTTAATGAAAATGAAGATGTGACTTTTTTCCATCCAAGTTCATGAACCCCAGGAACCCTTACTCTAGAGCTTCGCTTGGCAGAGCCTGCTGGCTCTGAGAGCTTTATTTATGCTGTGTAATGACACTTGCATATAAAAGCGCTTTGAGTTCTTTCTAGGAAAGGTGGTCGATGTACCTCTGGAGTAAGGTGATGGATCACCCATCCCAAAGAGGAGATCCAAAGAAAGCTTTTTTGGTCAGCTTGAATACGTAAACTTATAATGATGAAGAAGAAATAATCCTATGTCCATGACAATACTTAATGTAATAATTTTTTTTTTTGAGTATTTAAAATCACATAATATGGAAAACAATAGAGATTTGTAAACGTGACTTCCTTCACTCGCATGTCAAGACAGTTGTATATAGACGGGTCACATCTATTGTCAGCATCAGTGTCTTTGTCATCACCAACTGAGCCACTCTTGACTTGCCTGAGGGAGTTTTCCAGAACACATCTTCTCACTTCTAGGTTGTTAGATGCACGGTATTTTTTGAACCAGAAAGCTATCACCAGAAACTCTATCCCTACACAGATCTATTTGCATAACACTAAGAACCTTGTTACTCTAACATTAAGAACCTTGGCTTTATTATCTGTTCTAGAGGCCTGTGTTTGTAATTTCTACACTCTGACCACCAACTAAGGAAATTGCTTTTTGAAGTGACTTTAATGGCTTGTTTGCAGTGATAGCCAACACATGCAATTAAGAAGTAATAACTGCAAGAATTGTGACTAAGTCTTTGTTAAATGGATTTACCTTTTTTTAACTAGCTCTGTCAAGTGACTTCTATGAGCATCCCAAATTAGCAACATTTGAGTTTATTTCAGGTTAATGTGTCTTTCCTCAATTTTTTTTCAGGGTAAAGTAATGGAGAGAACCGTATCAATATAACATACATTGCAAAGATTCAAATACAAGGGACTCCCATCTCTGATGGTTAATTTTGGGAGAAGTTATATTCAGACAAAGACAATAATTTCTTTTTTTTTTTTATTTTTTTTTTTTTTACAAATAGTTTATTGTCAAATTAGTTTCCACCAGACATAGACAATAATTTCATTCTTTTTTTTTTTTTTGGTTTTTTGTTTTAATTGAAGTATAGTTGACATGCAAGATTATGTTAGTTTCAGGTATATAACATAGTGATTCAACATTATGAAATGCTCATCATGATAAGTGTGGTCACCATCTGTCACCATACAAAGCTATTAGTGTTATTGACTTTTTATCCCTGTGACTTATTTATTTTATAACTGGAAGTCTGTACCTCTTAGTCCCCTTAACTTGTTTCTCCCATACCCCACTCCTGTCCAACAACCACCAGTTTGTTCTCCGTATCTATGAGTCCGTTTCCGTTTTGTGTTTGTTCATTTGTTTTGTTTTTTTAGATTCTACGTATAAGTGAAATTGTACGTGTTTGTCTTCCTCTGGCATAAATGATTAGTTCTGAAGATAAAATAAGGAGCTAGGAATCAGAGAATGTAATTTTTAATGACAAGTTTCTCTTCTGTGTTTATTCAAATCAATGCCTGCTTAGCCCAGAAACCTAACAATTGAAAGTTGGCCTCATGTGCTTTGCAGATTATTCTGTGGTTCTGTTATTCTCCATATAATAAGTAGTACAAGTTCAGGTGTTAGCAAAAATCCTTTTAGAAGTGACCCACTTGTATATCATTTGATTGTCTTTCCCATTACTTGCTGCTTAGGCTTGTCAGGAAAACAGTAAGTTGTTTGTTGTGTATTTTGAGTTCCTTGGATGAAAAACTCAGAAAATGAAAATCTTATTATTCTTAGCCATTTAGCACCAGTATTATTATTCATCCTGTTAAGACAAGCAAAGAAAACAATGAGTAAAATTTACTTATTGTCCGTTATAGTCCTAATGCCATAAAATTGTTTCCTGGTATAATAATTCCCAATAAACGCCTTCCTACCAGCAGGTTTTAAATGAGAGGTTTGGGTCATATATAAAACATTTACCTTTCCCTGTGCTGACTGTGTGACATTCCATTACCGTGATTTCCTTTTTCAGCTTGGCAATACCAATAAATAAAAATGAAAAAATGCTCCGGTCACCCATCTCGCCCCTGTCTGATGCATCTAAACACAAATACTCCAGCGAGGACTTAACTTCTTCCAGCAGATCAAATGGCAATGGTTTGTTCACTTCTGCCTCCTCCAACAAGAAGCATAAGGCTGAGAGCCAGCTGCAGTCTCATGCCGGAGACCTCACAGTATGTTCATTCTCTTCCTTTCCCAATAAAAATAGAAATGAAATTGAGCACACCCCTGTACTCATCTGTCTCTAGCCCAGCACTGTCTAAACACATGCTTGAGGTCCCTCAAGAATCCCTAAATGCTGCTCTGGGAAGGCCTGGTGAACAAGCATGCCCCTTTACCCCTTCCCACAAAAATCTACAGAAGAAGAAACCAGAGGAGGCATTTTAAGCCTCTTCTGCTTAGAAAGCTTCTTTGTAGGATTTCATTTCCCACCCTAAAGAGAAAGGGCCCCATAGTAATAATATCCCATGAAAATTGGGAGTTTGGGACCAACCAACCTTATCATTTGGAAAGATTCCTTGCCCCAGGGCAGAGTGAAATCTGGGACTGAAGCCCCAGGCCAAAACTGTGGGATGCCCACCCACCCTTGTTGACTGGTGTAGTGACTGCATTGTGGGATCCCCACCCCTTTTCCGATCACCTTCTCAAGGGCAATTCCAGCTGCCTGCACTCCCCTAGGGAATAGTGGGGACTTGGGTCCAAGTCTGTCTAACATTGTATCTTAGTCAAAATATGAGTTTGGGCCAGTTGCTTCATCTCTCTGAGCCAGTTTCATCTGCAAAATGGTGGCAGGAGGATTTAAATGAGCCAGTACTATCTGAAGAACCAGACACATATGGATACCTATGCAACTAACACTACATGTTAGTTCCTCCTTACTGCTACTCCATCTAACAACTGGTGGCCCTGAATCATGCATCCTCTGGGACACATTATTTAATTCCAAACTCTTCCCCAAGTTCTCTGAGGTCACCATGCTGTGAAAACCAGTGGGGCTTTGTGAGGCAGGGAGAGAGATGAGACACGAGAAGAGGGCTGTTCAAAAAAAAGATAGGGGAGCAGTATTTAATGTTCTATCCCAGGAATTAAAGAGGTAAAAAAAGTTGGTGGTAGATCTGGCAAGAGCCAAAATTTTGTAACATTAAGAAATTAACCCGCTTATGCACCCTTATTTAGGAGCAATTATCTTCAATTCTAGGCTCAAAGAATCTGAGAAGGCCATACTAGAAAAACCTGGAATAAAAAACTACCAATCCAAATTAAAACACAAACAAACTTATCTGTACCTCTCTCTAGATCCTAACATAAAAGCAACCATGTCTAGAAAAGTGTAAAATACTTACAGACTTGACATAGTCACCTTTTCACCCAACAGAAGTTTATTGAGCAAGTACTTACTGTGTGCCAGGCACTGTGTCAAGCGACAGAGATCCAATGGTAATCTAACAGATTCATTCGATGCCTGTGCGAAGTTCACAGTCTAGCTGTGGAGATTACACAAATCTGTAATTACCATCACGAGTACCACAAAGGAAATGCAGAGTCCTAGGGCCTCTTACAACAAAGAGGCTTGTTCCACACATAAAATCAGTCCATATTTAAAGAAGCATTTGTACATGCTGAACACATTTTCATTACTTTGATTCATCCGTTCATGTTGTGGGTATCTGTAGTTTGTTCCAGAAGAATCCATTTGAGTTTTATAACCAAAGACAGTTGCTTTATGATCCATGGGTCTAGCACACAATAGGTGTTCTATAAATATTGTAATATGATTTTTAAAACTTTTCCACAAATTAAAAGTGTTCCTTTTAAAAATACATTTTAAATCATTTCTAGTTATTCCCTTTGGCTTTTTATCTTCTTCACAGACGGCTAATGAGAATCAGTCCATTTTGTGACATGAACAACTTCTCTTTTGCAAGGGTATAGCTCAGCAGTTCTGAAAGCTTGGTTTCTGGATTAGCATCAACTGGAACTTGTGAGAAATGAGCTGTTCTCAGGCCCCACTCCATACCTACTAAATTTGACTCGGGGTCAGTTGTCTGTGTGTTGATAGAACCCCCCGATAATTCTGATGCAGAGTCATCTTAGAGAACCACTGGTCTAGCCAACTGGGGAGAGCAGGGGCTTGAGTCCTAAGTCCTGGGCCTCAACCCATAATAGCTATTTGAGCTTGAGTAAGTTACTTGCCTTCAGCCAGCCACAGTTTCTGCATCTGTGAGAGTGGGTCACTAAGAACTTCCCTTTTGTAGGCTTCATGCCCCAGCACAGAACCCAATATGGGGCTTGAACTCACAACCCTAAGATCAAGACCTGAAATGAAATCAAGAGTCAGACATTCAACCAACTGAACAACTAAGGTGCCCCAAGAACTTCCCTTTGAAGTTCTGTAACAAGAATGACATTTGAAGGACACCTGGGTGGCTCAGTCAGTTAAGCGTCCGACTTCAGCTCGTCATGATCTCACAGTTCGTGAGTTCAAGCCCTGTGTCAGGCTCTGCACTGACAGCTCAGAGCCTAGGACCTGCTTCAGATTCTGCATCTCTCTTTCTCTGCCCCTCCCTTTCTCTCTCCCACTCTCTTTCTCTCTCTCAAAAATAAATGTTAAAAAAAATTTTTTTTTAAATGACATTTGACAACACACATAAAAGCCCTCAGCACGAGAACTTGTATGCATGTATTTCTTTTTCTGTATTTAAATAAAGGGATCATCAATTTTAACAGAGAACACACAACAGTAGGTTGCTCTTTCAGCCAGGTGGCCGGTTTCTGAAAAGACTGGTATGTTGTTTTTTGTTTAGAAAGGCGCTCACAATTCCGAAAATGTTCTCCACAAGACACGGCCACAAACAGAGCCATGGTCTCCAGGTTCCAACGGCCACAGGGACTGCAAGAGGCAGAAACTTATCTTCGATGATATGTGAGTATGGACTCTCTGTTGATGTGATGATGGGCAAGGTTAACACAGAAACTCCACAGATAGAAGGGTAATATGCATGACTTGGTCAGGGAAACGTTGCCCTCTCAAAGAGAATTGGGGCTTACCTTTGAATGCACCCCTGAGTCCTGGAGGGATTTTTGAATAGCTAGAACAGCCAGAGCTCCTGGGGTTGTATCCAAGATGTCAGGAAGCTAAGGCAAATGGCAGCCATGGGTCTTACATCTCTAGGCACCTGCATTTTGGGTTGTCGGCAATTGTATGCTACCGGAAAGAGAAGCATTTTTGTTTTTGTAAATTATAACAGGCAAAGGATAATAGTGGTTCACTCCTGGTTTGTTTCCTCTAAAATGCTACATTCTTTATAATAGCATAAACAGTTCACACAGGAAAAAAATATCCTGTCGTCCTTTCCCCAGCCCTAGCGCTGAAACCCAAGTATCACTTTCACTCCCAGCATCAGTTTAAAAGGAGAAGAAACAAGAGAAGATGAATAAAAGTAACATCCTGGAATGCTCTTGAGATGCTGAAAATGACAAAGGAGAAGTGATAAAGTGATACTGAAAACTACTTAAACTCTTAGGGGGAAAAAAATACATGTCAAGGACAATCCTGGAAGACGGAAGACGTAGTTTGAAGAGTTTCTTGAATCCGGTTTTCAATGTTAACTGTTCAAGGAGCATTCAGTGCTGATCTATGTGAGGCACTCCATCAAATCCTGGGGGGACAGCATGCAGCACTGAGACATCCTATCCTCTAATGGCTTACAGTCTGGCTGAGGGGACAGACTATAAACCCCTCACCCCACCTAAAATTGGAAAAGTTAGGGGTGCCAAATGTCTTGGAGGTCCAGCTTCCCTATCAGGAAAAACAATAGTCATGATACCTCTCCCCGGAGGTTCTCGCAAGACCTGGTTAGAGGAGATCTCCTAAGGGTGACCATCCTTGCAGAAATGATGACTATTCCATCCTCATCTTCCACCCGTCCTCTCCTCCAGCCCTGGCTTCACCCAGAGCACAGACAGGCTCTACTTATTCAACTCTATAGACTTCTCTGAGAAATGAGAATGTGCAGTTGCAGTCCTCAAATTATTCTTCGACTTCAGTGAGCTCATTAAGAGCACAGAATTGGGGAGTTAAAAGCCACATCCACATTTTTGGTTTGTTCCACTTACTGAACACATTCCAAGACAATTGGATTTATGAAAGTTTAAGGGTGGCCCAGGAGGACAGGTGTTTTTCTCTCCTTCCCATGGCTGCTGCAGCAGCACGCAGCCCCAGGCACTCTCTCCTGGCCCTCACCACCTCCCCCTCCCCATCTTTTCCACTGCCCTAAGCTTTGAGTGAAGGAGGTGACAATTAGTCTCCAAGGTGGGGTATGTAGTAGGAGAACAGTCCCTTGGCCAACTACATATATAATTAGGGTTTGGTAGTCTAAATTGTTCACGTGGGCTCTAACCATCCGTAAAAATGGGAGATTAGAATTATGTTTGATGACAATGTGGCAGTTTGCATTCAGAAGTCATAATCTAACACGACCAAACACAACATGCATTAGATGCTAAGGTGCTTAAAACATCCAACATTTGTAACAGGTGATGTTAAGGGGCGTGGTATTTAAACCCACACACCATGGTATTACATGTATTAATACAATCATAATAAACATATATAAGAAAATTTAAATATAAGGAATTATCTGATATACGGACCAAAAAGCTAAGTCAAAAATAGCAACAACTAAATGGCCGTACTTCGATCTGCAGTTTCTTGGACTGTTTACAAGAGGAAATGTTTCTCAATCTGCCAGCACTATTGCTAATATAATTTTTTCACTATCTGTGTCAACGAAGAAGCTGTTATCATTCGTTCCTCCCATTAGCAATATGTATAATTTTTCTGGCTGACAGCTACAATAAAACTGTTTCTCTTTTTATGGATATAGATATAATAGAATAAAAAAGCACTCATACATAGCCGTCATATGGAGAGATAGATGTCATGTTCCAATTGCCATGTGTCCCAGTTGATTTGAAATCCATAACAGTAAAATAAACATGCAACTCAAACAGCCACTCAACCACTGAACTAAGAAAGTCTCTGGAAGATCCTTGAAGCTTGAAAAACAAAACTAGACAATGCCTTTTCCTTGAAAAAATACAGATCACTGTCCCTTAAGAGATCGCTGGGCTAGAGTCACCTAAACTTGTATAAAATGTCTCCCAAGTCTAGTTGGTATGTACTGAGCACTTACTAAGTGCCAGGTACATTGGCAGGAGCTCGGATATGCTATTCTTTAATCCTCAGTTATTAATTCAGTGGGGAAGGGAGGCACATGGGTGGCTTCTCCAGGAAGGTGCCTTGGGACCACAAAACTTTAGCCTCCTCCTGCTCTGCTCTGTTCTTCTTCACCAGCTTCCTCACCAGCAGGCTTGCTAACAGCCAAGCACCTGGCTCCTGTCACTTTCCTTGACTGCTTCCCACTAAAGGTGTCAACAAGCAGTGAAACAACCAGAGAGGCCACCAGTAGAAAAAAAAGAAAGACCTAGAGAAATAGCGCGGGAGTAATTTAGAGTTGATGGAAATCCAGTTACAGTGATCCAAAAGGGAACAGATGCTATACTGTCATTTACTTTTTAAAGCCGCATTGTGTAGCTTTTAGAAAAAAAAGTAAACTCATCCTTTTGTATTATAAATACTCGTTAATGGTTGAATAAACATGCAATGCAGACAACAGCTGAATTCAGTGGGTGCTTAATAACAAGTGTTGAATGAACACAGCTGAATTAGAATAATAGTGCTAGGAGAGTAATGGCTGCAATTTTTTTCACCACGAATATAAGGAATCTACATGCAGGTAAAGTGAAATTCATGGCTTCCTAAGCCCCTTTTCCTGTGTTACTTACCAATTAACTAGGCACCAGTTTGTGTCTTCAGGATGCAGATGGAACTGAACAAAATAATACTTATTTTTAAAATGTGATCCGGGTCAGCTGGTTCTGCGTAATTTGCAGGCTCAGACTGGTGGCATTATGACCGCACCTCCTCGTTGACATTCAGCCCCGCTACTTGACAGCCCCGGTTTTAAGGTGACACCGGTGTGATTGCCAAACTTTTGTTTAAAAAAAATCTGTAAGAATTTATGTCAATGAGTGACAGCACTTGATTCAACTCAAAGCCCATAAACTGATCTTAATAGTGTGAAGCCATGAGCTGTAAATTACTTTGTGTCATAATTAGTGACAGGGGAGTTCTTGGCCCTGGAATATCAAGAGAGAACAACTGTGTTGTGAAGGCCTCAGTACAGAAGTCCTGAGCAGAGCTAAGTGGTGAAATGCTTGGCTGGGAAACCAAGTCTCCTTTCCCACCAGCCATATTGCCGGGTTGGGAAGCCAGCGACTCCCAAGTGCCAGAACTGCCTGCTGCTCCCAGAAGGATGTACTGTCTCCTGCCCATATTTCACAAGGAAGAGTCAGTCACGATCATCACATTCAGCAAAACCACCAAACATTCCATCTGTCCCCATGGCACCAGTAACAGGAGACCAGCTACTTAACTCTCCCAACATTGAGAAGAGACTCCCTCAGCCACACGTGCTGAAGGCCGTGGCATGTGAAATGTGGCTGACAGGGAAGAGAAAAGGATTTGGCATTTGTGATGTAATTATGCTCAGCAATCTCATAGCTAAAAGCATTTAATTTCATAGAGGATGGGAAGAGTCTAGTATGTAAAAGGTCAGATCTCTTGTGGCATGATTTAGTCAAAGGACACCAACCGAAATCCTTGAGTAGGTGATGGCACAATGAGGCAAGGGCTTGCAGCGGCCATTGCTCCTCTCCTGAGGGGCTCCCCTTCCCCACCTTTCCTGGTAAACCAGTAGTACACCTTCCTGTTCTTCTCTATGGACTTTTCTTCTTTATGAGAGCCCTCTCAGCCAAGTTTTTATTTTTTGCTTAACTGAAACTGAGAGTGAAAGAGAAAGAAAAAGAGTAGGCTTGGGATGGGGAGGTAGAAGGGTACAAGTCCTTTCAGACCTCCCTGACTAAAATCTTTGTTCTCTGATCACTTTAAGGGTTTTGTAAAATTATCTTAAGTGTCACACCCAGAGAAGAGCCACAATCAAACTGATGAGTTTCCATTTCAAGAGAAAGTTGCTTTTGATTGAATGACAAAAACCTGCCACATTTAGCCTATGCATATTAGAAAACACACGTTGTTTTCTGTGTGTGACCAAGAGAGAATACAGTCATGTGCAGGAGCCTATGGGGTGTACAAGACACGATGAATGATCACCTGTGCTTCTGAGAAGCCAGGTTCTAGAGCCTCTGGGGTCCCAGCCAGAATCACGCTGATGGAAACAAAAACTGCATTTGAATCTTTGCTGCTTCAATGCAGTCTACCTGCTTCTTTCAAGAAGCACTCATAAAGCCAGCACTGCATGCCAGAGATGCTGACCCTGAAGTGCCCTCATCAGTAGTGCTCACTTCAGTGGATTAAAAGGAATTACAGGTTCCCCTGCTCGCTCTGAAGTAGAGCATTCCTATGAAACCATTTGTAAGCCAGAGTGGTGTAAAACGAAGAGTATCTCCAGTTTTCTGAGGGTTCACTTTGCATTACTTCACTTTAAGAAAGACCTACATTAGTACAGTAAGGCTTTCTTCAGAAGAGTGAAAATCTTCCTCAGATTCTCGAAAACCGTTTCTAATCTAGGTCTTTCATTAAAGGGAACTTTCAAAAAGCAGGGGGGGTGCCTGTACTTAATTTCTTATGTGTCCTTCTTTGTGAAGAAAGTACTTCAAAGCCAGGGACACAGTAACACCCATGGGGCTTATCAGATGACAAGTTGACAGGATATCAGATGATGAATTCATTTGGTATGCAGTTGCCTATTTGTCTCATTTGGACTTCATCTTCCCTAAGGAAATTATCCAGATTTCTGCTGTGCCAAGGAACCTGTTTGTTCAAACACATTGAGCTCCCATCCCTGCCAGTTTTCACAAAACAGGAGGCTCTGCTGAGGGGGGTGAGGGGCACATTTCACAGAGGTAGGAATTACAGGAAGAAGGCTGCCAGCCTCTCCATTGGAGACCATTCAACTCCATCTCAGCCACAGAACAGAACAAAAAGCAAGGTTGCTTTAATACTCCTCTGCCAGAAGAAATATCAGCATAGTTCAAACCCTGTTGCAGCCTCGGAACTAAGGTTGCATGCTTATAGAGGCGAGAGTGGGAGGGTGAGGAAAAGAAAGAAAACATTCTATTTGGATCAAGTATTCAGATTGTTTTTGTTGCAAAGAGCTCTTACAACAAAGATATACATGGCTAAGCCTTGGCTTTTAAAAAGATCACTCGCAAGCCCCATTTCTGAAAAGCCCAAGACACACAGTTACACATATGATATTTAATTGAACGTTTATTAGGTTGGCTCGTGTGTCATCACAAGATACCATCACTTTTAAAGAACAATATGAACAATGTTATTACTAAATGAAAAATGAAAAACTCTAGGCTATTCATGTAAAAAAAAAAAAAAAAACAAAGATTAGATCACAAATCTGTTGGAACACTGAGATAATTAGATTTTATTGTAGTACCTTGGCCAAGTTGTAGTCTGTAACTGCCACAATGGTGACAATTTTACTCTCCTCCTGACTGGGACATTGCTGTCAGAGTGATGCCTTCATCATAGCATGCATCCACCGCCCTGCTGGACAGTCTCCAGTGGCATCCCATTAGCCCCACTGCCTCTATAATGTTCTGATCTAGGAGTGTGGCACTAGAAATCACCTAAAAGGAGAAAATGAGCCAATCATCAAGCAATCTTCAGTGACTCAGTGTAGTGAGCCCTCTATTATATGCGAGGATGAGAATTGTGACTAATGTGTTTCTGGACAGCACATTTTTTTCAGCATCTCAGCTAGTGTCAGCTGCTGTGATAAAGTCAGAAAATCAGATGTATTACTTACCTGCGTACACTATTGTGAGAGTTTGTGACCCAGCCTCCATATCAGGTTTAAAAATACATTCATATGCTTCAGATGAAAACAATGTTAATTAAGGAACATATATTAGGAATCAAGAGGCACCACCATCCTTAAGGGTACCTTTGATGGCTAGTAACTAAGATGGCATAGCTTATTGCCAGGAGAATCCTTTCATGAAAATGAAATGCATTTGAAATGATGATCGGTTGGTGACAAGGTCTACAAAACTGGGCAAGAAAAAATTGACCAAACTCATATACTAGAGTGCAGAGCAGATAATGATGTGGAGAATTTCAAGTTGCCATGGAGACGTTCTCTGGCTCATTGGCTGTGATGTTGCACCCCATCAGAAGCCACCACTCTCTTCTAAGCTCAAGATGAATACAGTGCTATTCAAGGGGGATTCATGTACCTTCTATAATGTGCCTAAGACTATAGGGCGGGGAAGATCAAACATGTCCCAGCATAGTCCCTGCTGAAAATGTACCAGCTACAGTGCTGCCCACATGCAGTGACTGTCGCCATACAGCTTCGAAGGTAATGAAATGCCTAGACGCGTAGTATAAGTAAATGGTATCTAGGAAAGACCCATATGAGCATGGACCAGAGTTCCCAAGAAGGCCTAATGGCACAAGAATTTGAGGAAGAGGTAACATTTGGCTCATAGAAAGCACTCAGTGAATGTGCACTCAGTGAGCAGAATGTTCCAAGTGGGAGGAAAAGGATAAGCAGAGAATTTCTAAAACAGAGATGACAGGTAAGCAACACAGGGAGGAGACCACCCCTGGCCATGGCTGAGGGCCATGGTGAGTAAATAATACAGTTGAGGGGTTAGCAAGATCAGTGGGGGCCTGAACTGAGACTTGATCCTGGAGGATCTGGGGACTGACTTTAGGTCTGGAGTAGTATGGTGATTTAATGAAAGCCATGTATTACAAACACTGGTCAAGGGTTAAAGCTCAGAATAGATCAAAAGGGAGTAAAACGAGAGACCAAGAGAAATGATGAAAGCCTAGGCCTGGGTAGTGGATGTAGTCACTGTGAAAAGGAAGGATGTTTACAAGGATGCATGCACAGCATCTGATAACAGGTAAGAGAAATTGATGAGGTCCTTGGAACTCCTCTCCTGAGAAGCTCAGGAGTCAGGTCTGGGTCTGAGCTAGAGGTAGAGTCTAGTCATCTACACTGAGGCATTCCACAAAAGGATGAAAACAAATAATAATGCAGAGGATTTTTAGGGCCGTGAAATGATTCCCTATGATACTCTAATGGTGGATAAATGTCATTATACATTTGTTAAAACCCACAGAATGTGTGACACCAAGAACAAATTATAATGTAAACTATGTACTTGGGGCGATAATGATGGGTCAGTGTAGGTTCATTGATTGTAACAAATATCCCACCACTCTGGTGAAGCCTGTTAAGGTAGGTAAGGTAGGTAGACTGGTGGGAGAGGGGCACGAGGTATATGACAACTCTCTAAATTCTCTATACTTTCTACTCAGTTTCGCTGTGAACCTAAAACTGCTCTGAAAAATAGAGTTCATTAAAAAAACAAAGACAGCAACAACAAAATAATGTAAATTACCAGAACTGGAATCCAAGACCAGTATGCAGTGTGCATTCAAAGGTCAATGTGTGGACAAAGGGAAAACCACCATGTAAAGGTGAAAACCCATTCAAATGGAAGAAGTGTGAACATGTAGGAGATGAACTAGAGAAAGTAGAGCCTATAGGAGGAGTAGGGCCTTCCTATGACAGAACCTTTGGGTCCTACCTGCCGCAAAGATCCATCAAGATGAATGGAAGGTTTCAGGCCTGGGTGACAGAAAGATTGATAGAAGGCTGATGAGCCAAAGACAGGGAATTTAATTTTACACATTAAGGGACTTCTGCAGCTATGTTCCTCATTTCTTTGTTGGAAAAGTTAAATATTCCCAGCACATTATCACAAGAATGACAGTATTTTACAGGGAAATGAAAGATAGAAAACCAAGGTCCTTTTTGGCCTCTGTGATTTGTACTTGAGACTAATTGCTATGAAAAATAATAATTATTATTTGTTATGATCATGGTTTGTTTGATTGATTAAAACCATCAAAATGAGGGTAAAAGTTTGGGATTGCAATGTCATTGTCATTGTATGCATGGTTTTTCTAAGCATTTTGACCTGTACGGATAAAAGGATTCTCTGACCACTAATAGTGCGGTAAGGAAAAAGACCCATTAAAATCTCAGAGAAGAGGGTTCAGAATAAGCATATAACAATAGGTGAGTCAGTCCATGATTAATATCACTCCTTATTAGTCTTAACTCTCAATCAGGGAGTCCTGGCTTATATTGGATATTCATGAACAAGTCAACTTTGTTGATTATATAAAGACCCATAATATAAAAAAAGTTGATGCTGATGGCACCTAGACTATGTAGATTTTTAAAAATCTTTCAGACTAAGCATTTAAAGGTACTGTCTGATGAGTAGCTTCATGTAACTTGGGGTCATTACACACACTCAGATCAGTCTCTGTATTAATTACCTTCATCTCCCAGCAGAGTTAGTACTGGCCAGGGTTATTGCTTTAATAATGCACATGTCTGCTGTTAATGTTTACCAGCTAGCTAATCAGAACTCTAGAGAATACATGCCACGTTTGCATTGTTACAAGGTAGACATCATTTTACAATTAACTTCATTATAACTGGAACATAATCATACAGTATTACCTCTTTTCATGTTTCACTGTGAAGCCTTAAAATAATTAGATATAGATACACACACAAAACTGTAGGTGCCATTTATGCATATAAATAACAACTTAACCTTCATAAGAATACATAAATATATTCGCCCATACATATCTATGCAATTATTATGAGGTATATTTATGATCTTTATATTAAAAAGGGATTATTTTATACTAATACCATGTAAAATAAGATTTTTTTACTTGTTTTCTTAACCATGCAATAAGAAATCTGATTCACAAATTAGACCCTGGGGAACCATGTTAAAACCACTGTAAATGTAAACTGTCTGCATATATTGAATGTGTTTTGAATAGCTAATTGAAGAGAAAAATAATTGTGATACTTTACATACAGGCAGTAATTTGGGAATGCAAAAATGCTTGATTCCATATTAAACAGATTAAGCAAATTAAAATCCATTTTAAATTGTGATTAAAGTTTGAGCAAAAAGGAAAGAATATTTTTAAAAGATCTTGCACTTACACAATAATGACATTTAATATTCTCTCCTGTAGGCCACGCAGTGCAGATTATTTTATGCAGGAAGCTAAACGAATGAAGCATAAAGCAGATGCGATGGTAAGACCCTTTTCTTTCCAGATATGTTCTTCCAAATTATGTTTGTACTGCAGCTTCATCACCGGGGCAATATAGCTGGGGTAATTATAAAATCTATTACAAGGATGGCTGGGTCTGTTAAATGGAGAAATGTTTATATAATCAAGTGCTCATAGCCCAATAAATTATGACTTCAACCAATAATGTCTGACTGGGAGAAAGTCCCGGATAAATGAATATTTCAATTTAGTTCTAAGGTTTGAATAGTAACTAGAGGCAATGGAGTCAGTGGGTGGGTTTGCATTTTTCTCTCTTGTTAGCCTGGCCAACCCTTGGCTTGGTCCCAGGATCAAATCCCTTTTCAAAAGGACTCATGTTCTGCCTAGGTTATCTGCCAAAATTAATACTTCCTCGGAAACTGTACAACACAGAAACTATTATGCTGCACATAAGACCCTAAAGTCACCAAGATTTGATATTTTCCAAAAAAATAGCTTTTCTTTCTTGGATAGTCTCCTGTTTAGGAAAGCTTGAACCTTGTAGGCAAGAAATAGAAAACTTCTGGGTTTTTCTGAAAAAGACCACATGGTTGGTCCATCTTAAGGTCTCATCCAAAGAGACTTCCACCTGGTAATTCCAGTTCTGTTCCCCTCCAGCATTCCCAACTGAGACGAATAAAGCATTTCAGATGACCTTCAGGGTATTATTCCATGCTGAAGATGCTTACATCATAAATGTACCCCTCTCCCAGTGTCACTGATGTTGCCCCCCAAACATTTATTTGTTGGAAGATCACTGTCTAGGTACACTGATGTGCAAGGAAAATAGGCAGAGTTGTCAGAAAATAGACAAGGGAAGTGGGAGGTACACTTCTTGTCCTCACAACCCCATAGTCTGATGGAGAGTCCTGGTCACCTCAAGAAGCTGATGCATGATCGCCATCGCAGAAGAGCATGGAATTTTAAAGTGGAATGAAATCTTCTGCCTGAATCATCCAGGGTTTACCAGGAGTGTTCATTCTGTGTCATGTTATCCCACCTGACCTTTCCTATCAACATTCTGCTCCAGCCACACTGGTGCCGTCCCAGCCTCTGAGCACACCTCACTCATGCCAGCCGGTGGGACTTTTCAGCAGCAGAGCCTCACACACGTGTACACACACACACTCATTCACTCACAGCTACTCACACCTCCAGCTTCCTCCCCAAATCCAGCCAAACCATACCATTCCATCGTATGGCCATCTTCAGGTCTCCTCCCTGAGCCTCCCCAGCCTTTCTGCAGCCCAATGACTTGCTCCCTTCCTATCATCTCTTTGCATTGTACTCTCTGCTTTATATTTTGTTAGTTAATCACAAACTGCCTTGCACTTTGAACTATCTTGTGGATGCATGTTTTCTCTTTTCAAATTTATTCTAAGGAGCTTTTGTGTCAAGTGCATCCTGCACAGAACTGAATGCTGTGGAAAATACTTGTTGAATGAAATAACTTCCTTAATTTGAAAGCATTGCCAAGAAATATTTCTGTATAGCTTGTTAGGGTTATAAGCTATTTAAAAACTTGGTTTGCCAAAGAGGAAGTGTTTTGCTCTACATTGCAGTTTTATAAGGCATCCATTACTAATGAGAATTGTTTTTAGAGGCAAGACGTAGAATAGTAATTTGTGTAATTCTGTTCTGATTGATGAATGAGTATGTGAGAGCTAGGAAGAGTATATGCAATCGAAACTTAGAATACGCAATTATCACAGCAAGTAACAAAACATGTATATGGCACCAGGAACTTGATGTGTAAGTTCGGATTTGTGAGAACCTGAGAATATGAAGTTGATTCTTGCTTACCCTCAATGATGTGGCAAGAAATTAACATAAACTTAGACAACTTGAGATAACCCCCACACACACACATAATGTTTTATTTGGCATAGTGCAGAGGGACAGGAGTGAAGTTGCCAAGCACTTAGGGGTTAGAAAGAGGGAAATGGAAATTAGAACAACCATGTAGTTCTGAGCAATTCTGATTGGCAGCTCTTGCATAGATCTGGTATAATTCTGTATACAACCATTCACTCACTTACCCTAAACCAGTAGCAATTTGCAAAAATAACTAGAGAAGGAAGCATCCTATTTCTTTCTTCTCTGGGCTCCATTCACAGGGTTTTGGAACTCAGAAGTCGGGTTTCTCAAATAAAGCATATAGACTATGTGACAATGCCATTTTAAAAACTATACTTAAGGAAGACACTGTATTAACTCTGTTGATCAGGTGGAAAAGTTTGGAAAGGCTTTGAATTATGCCGAAGCAGCCTTGTCATTTATTGAGTGTGGAAATGCAATGGAACAAGGCCCAATGGAATCCAAATCTCCCTATACAATGTATTCGGAAACAGTAGAGCTCATCAGGTAAGCACAATGTCTTGCTGGGGGAGTGCAAGGGGTGAGGAATGTATGTCAATACTTTGAATACAGAGAAAAGAATGCCAGCCTGCACTATCAGCTACCAGGAACCAACGTTCATCCTCACAAAGAAGAACATAAGATTTTGCAAGGTGCTTTTACACACCCTGCCTCCTTTGCTCTCTTTGTGAGTGAGCAGGAAAGCCCCTTTAACCCATGATTGCCCCAGAAAGGAAGCTGAGTCCAAGTGAGATGTGACTTGCCTACTTCACCCAGCTGGGAAGTGGCAGATTTTGAACTAATTTCACACCTATGCTGCTTTTTCTTTTTTTAACCTGATTCAGGTTGGTATAATCTAAATCTAACTCCATCAGTAAATGATTCAGGAGTATTTAATGAGAGGAAAGAAGATTCGGGGTAGGGGGTGGGATTTCAGGAAAGGAAAGCCACCCTATCATATGGTGCCTCAGAGGCTGCTGATGTTATTTTGGTCTTAGACCTGAATGTGAGTACCATCCCCCACCTGGGTCGAGACACGTAATATGAGCAGTTGCAGGGTTTCTTTTTTTTTTTTCTTTTTCTTTTTTTTTAGATGCAGGGTTTCTGACATGGGCACATCAAGGGGTTGCATGGGAGACCCTTGTCTTCCATCATGGAGACCCAGAAAGGCACATCTTTAAATGTCTTTTTAGTGAACCATTAAGGAAATTTCATCCATAAGCCCTACTGAAAACCTTGTCATATAGTTTATGTCTCTAGTTGGTCAACTGCTTGGAAAAATATCTAATACCTATATGTGAAATTATTCTTCCTCAAAACTAAATTTAAGAGACTTTCTAATTCTGGAATTCTCTGCCACCTAAGATTAGATACTTTTAACATGCCCCACCATTCCCGATGAAAGATTTCTAGTCCCCTTGGGTTATAGCCCTTTTCATCTGGTATTTTATAAAGATACAACTTGGTATTTTATACCACTCTCCTTCAGTAACTAGGTTCTAGCCTTTGAAACTGTCACCGCAGCATTAGAGAATATATCCTCTTCAAAAAGCACCTCTTAAGAATGTTTTGGGGGCGCCTGGGTGGCTTAGTCGGTTAAGCGTCCGACTTTCGCTTAGGTCATGATCTCGCGGTTTGTGGGTTCGAGCCCCGCGTCGCGCTCTGTGCTGACTGCCAGCTCAGAGCCTGGAGCCTATTTCGGAGTCTGTGTCTCCCTCTCTCTCTGACCCTTCCCTGCTCATGCTGTCTCTCTCTCTCTCTCTTTCCTAGAAATAAATAAAAATATTTTAAAAAATTAAAAAAAAAAAAAAGAATGTTTTGAAAGTCAATACTATTCAGTCATTTTTCTTATTAAAATATTTCTACCACATCAATGTATTAGTGATTCCTTCATACTATTTGCATGGTATGTATGCTATTTTTGTCAGTGAAAAAAAGAAATCATCATAGTAAAATTACTCTATGAGACCCTAGATCCTCACATTCCTTCCTCAGAACAAGACACAGACTCAGATAACCGACAGGCACTCGGGGAAGAACATGATGAAAGTAGATGGACACAAAGTAGTAACGTGTCCTAGAATGTGAGTGCTTTGAGGAGGGAATTTGGAAGGGGTCTGATTTGTTCACTGATGTATCCCGAATCCTTGGAACAGTTCTTGAATACAGTATGTGCTCAATAAATATCTGAGGAGTGAACAAATAAGCAAGTCACACGGCCTATGGTGAACTCCAGTGTGCATGGCCCCCTTAAAGGCATTCAAATTTTTAAAAACAAACAAACCCAAACAACAATGAAAGCCTGATGGCAGTCAAATACACCTGGAGGTGCTGACGTGCTACACCTGCCCTGCACCATAGTTAAGACTCTGATGTGTTCTCTGATATAAGTATCATTGCATGATGGAGAACAAAACCTATTTTCTAGATAATTCAGACTGAGTAGAATCCTTTGAACTACTCAGAAAACTAAGATGAAAGAAATTTTTCTTATCTGAGTTAGAAAATAACTAATTTACTACTTAATATCTGCATGTTGCTGACCAAGCTTGAGACTCTCCTCCCCCATTGAGAGCCACTGGAGGCTGGGAGCACTGTCAAGGGGGGATTTCACCACAACTGTCCAGCTCAAGCTGTTCTCTTTGTCCCTGTAGGCAGGAGAATTCCTTTCTCCCCAAGGGATACCAAGTGACTGGGGACACTGGCAAGTGGAACCCTATACCACAAATCAAAATGGCACTACAAAGCCTCTGAAAATTAAATTGTAATTGGAACTACAGCCCAGAAGTAGGCCAGGACCTGCCAGCTAAACCTAAACAGGGTGACTTCCTTTTAAAAAAAAAAGGTTTCAATAGGACCCTGTCTTTCCTAACATAATAACCAAATGTCCAAGTTTCAGTGGTGGAGATGTTCTCATTCATAACCTTCCCAGGTATAATCTAAAGCCAGGCCCCGTACATGGGGCCCAGGGAGACAATGGGAAAAGAGGCAGGTTGGTAGGTGGCAGGTCTAATAAGAAAAGAGAATTTACATATAAGACTTCTCTTGGGTGGCCATAAAATTAATGGATCCCACCAATTCTTAAAGTTTATATGGAGGCCTTAGCTTCTGCACAGCAGAGGAAACAACCCACGAAACTAATAGGCAACCAACAGAATGGGAAAAGATAGTTGCAAATGACATATCAGATAAAGGGTTAATATCCAGAATCTATAAGGAACTCACCAAACTCCACACCCGAAAAACAAACAACCCAGTGGAGAAATGGGCAGAAGATATGAACAGACACTTCTCCAAAGAGGACATCCAGATGGCCAACAGACACATGAAACGATGCTCAGCATCCCTCCTCATCAGGGAAATACAAATCAAAACCACACTGAGATACCACCTCACGCCAGTCAGAGTGGCTAAAATGAGCAAATCAGAGAACTCTAGATGCTGGCGAGGATGTGGAGAAACGGGCACCCTCCTACACTGTTGGTGGGAATGTAAACTGGTACAGCCCCTCTGGAAAACAGTGTGGAGGTTCCTCAGGAAACTAACAATAGAACTCCCTTATGACCCAGCAATAGCACTGCTAGGAATTTACCCAAGGGATACAGAAATGCTGAGGCATAGGAGCACATGTACCCCAATGTTCATAGCAGCACTCTCCACAATAGCTAAAACATGGAAAGAGCCTAAGTGTCCATCAACAGATGAATGGATCAAGAAGATGTGGTTTATCTATACCATGGAATACTCCATGGCAATGAGAAACAATGAAATCTGGCCATGTGTAGCCACATGGATGGACCTTGAGGGTGTTATGCTGAGTCAAATAAGTCAGGCAGAGAAGGACAAATATCATATGTTTGCACGTATAGGAGGATTAGGAGGAACTTAACTGAGGAACAAGGGGGAGAAAAAGGGGGGAAATGGTGGGGGAAAGGGAGAGAGGCAAACCATGAGAGACTCTTGAATGCTGACAAAAACTGAGGACTGATGGATGTGGGGGGGAGGGGGGGATGGGCATGGAGGAGGGCACTTGTGGGGATGCGCACTGGGTGTTATGTGGAAACTAATTTGACAATAAACTATTTGTAAAAAAATATATACATATATATATATAATCAATATTTAAAAAAAAAAAAGTTTATATGGAGGCCTTAACTGAGTTCACTCAAGTATACTGTGATGGTGTACTTAACACCACACACTGTCTCAAGGGTGTGTCCTTGGAGCAGCCTCTGGGAGCAGAAAAGGCAACGAAACCCACATTTCAAGGAAAAGGGAGGAGATGAGGAGCCCTGATCATCCAGGTCCAGTTCACAGGTCAATTGGCAGTTACATCTTTTTGAAGACCTTCCCTAGCAAGACAACAGAGGATAGAATCAGTGAACTTGAGAACAGAAAATAGAATTTACCCAATCTTAGCAACAAAAAGAAAATAGACTGAAAAAAATATATGGAGCCTCAAGCACAGTGACAAAAGATCCAACACGTGTCTCATTGAAGTCTCAGGAGAGGAAGAGAGTGGGACTAAAAGAGTATTTGAAGAAGCAGTGGCTGAAATTTGCCCAATTTGGCAAAAGACAAACCTACAGGTAGAAGAAGCTGAGAAAAGTCCAAGTAGGATAAACCAAAGAAATGCATGCCAAGACACATCATAACTACATTTCTGAAAACTGAAAACAAAGAAAAAAAATCCTGAAGACAACCAGAGAGAGTTGTAGGGAACACCAGCTCGTATGACAGCAGACTTCTCATCTGAGACCATGGAGGCCAGAAAGGAGTGGCATGACATTTTTCAAGTACTGAAAGAAAAAATCCCATCAAAATGAATTTTAAATGCAGGGAAACTTCATTATGCAGGGATGACTAGGAAATGAAAATATTCTCAGATAAGTAAAACTAAAAGTATTTATTTTTAACCTATAAAGAGGGGCTAAAGGAAGTTCTTCAAACTAAAGCAGATGACAAATGAAGCAATATTGAAGTGTCAGGAAGGGTGGAAGAACAGAAATGTGGATACATGCAATAAACTATCCTCTTCATGAGTTTTATAAATCATACTCAGTGAATTTTTTTAAAAAACCTGTACTACCATCTGATACTCAAGACAGTGTTATTTAAAAGTGAGTAAAGGGGGGCGCCTGGGTGGCTTAGTCAGTTAAGCGTCCGACTTTCGCTTAGGTCATGATCTCGCGGTTCGTGGGTTCGAGCCCCGCGTCGGGCTCTGTGCTGACTGCCAGCTCAGAGCCTGGAGCCTGTTTCAGTCTGTGACTCCCTCTCTCTCTGACCCTCCCCTGCTCAGGCTGTCTCTCTCTCTCCTAGAAATAAATAAAAACATTAAAAAAATAAATAAATAAATAAAAGTGAGTAAAGGGACATAAATAGAAACAAAGTTTTCATGCTCCACTCAAAGTGGAGCATGTTAATACCCATGAATTGTGGTAAGTCACATACGTATATTGTAAATACCCAGAGCAACCACTAGGAAAAACCGTGCAGAGAGATATTCAGAGATACTACAAATCTGCATGTTGTAGACCTAGTATAATAACAGCATCATATCTTGAACAATGACCTTCACAAATACTATCCTTATAACAATGCTGTGTAATCAGTATTCATCATATTTTATCAGTAAGGAAATCGAGGCTTAATGACATTCGTTTGAGCTCTCACAACTAATAAGAGGCTGAACTGGAATTTGAACCCAGAACTCTGACTATTTCACCTATGTGTTCGCTCTCTCAAAGAGTCTGCAAATAACTTGGTATATGATTGGGAGAGTGGAATGGCCATAGTCTCCTTGATTAGAGAAATAAATGGGATTAAGTAAAGTTCAAAAGAGCCACCTTTTTTTGGACACTTACACAGTCATTGAAGTAAGAATTCCATAACAGTGAAAAAGGGGGCGAATGAATCCAAGCATCCACGTTAGTACAAGGAGTGAACATTTTTCTGGAGGTTGGTTTGGAAGGATTGCAGCCACTCGGCCACAAGTCAAAATTCATAAAAATGGACGTGTCCCTATATTCATGGATAATGCTTGAACTGGCATCACTCTCAACCACTAGTAGCATTTGAACTTGTGTTGTTAAAAGACAGAAAGTAGCTGGACAATCATAAAAGTCACTTTGTTCTAGTCATCACAGTAGTGTAATGCGCAGGGGAAATGAGGCAGCATCAGCTAGCTTTTAAGAAAGAATTAACAGCAAGTGCTATGAAATCTAAGTTTTAGGGCAAAGAGAACTTCCATCATAGAAGATGTTCTGTTGTTAACAAGAAAGCTTTTTTTTCCTTTGGCTTTTAATTTCTTTTTTTCCCCTAGGTATGCTATGAGACTAAAAACCCATTCAGGCCCTAATGCCACACCGGAGGACAAACAACTGGCTGCATTATGGTAAGTGTGGGATATCGACTTAAAATAGCCTCCACGGCCATGTGTATCTTCATTGGCAAACCAAGTGCTGAAATGCATACATTTTTCTAGTACCTTCTAACATGCAAAAACAAATGCAGTTCTGATGGTGGCTAGGGTGAACGCACACAATTTCTTGCTGCTCTACCAAGCATAATGTGAATTCGTGGTGGTTGAGAATCAATAGGTCCATTACACAGGATAATTTTTTCTGTGTATGTTTGTGTACATGAATGCATGCACAACTTTAAAGTCAGGTAGATCTGTGTTTTAATAATTTGAATGTGAACTGTGCCAAATGTAATTTCTCTTGTGTTTGACACTTTAGACACGATCAAAATAACCCATTAGTCCATTTACATGTGGGATTATTATGACTGAATCAGGATGGTGCCCTGAAGTTCTCAACACATCAAAGAAGCAGCTTATTTACACTGTAATAACAGAAGCATTTCTTTTAAACTGTTCACCAACATGTAATAGATTTTTTTTCTGTATCTGTAGTGACTACAATGATAATGATTATGTGAACATAATAATAGTAATTTTCCCCATTATATCTCCTTGGGACACCTCACCCCATTCTCCCAAATCATAAAACACATGTCTTGGTTCCTCTTGTTTAGAGATCCAACAATTTTTGCCCTCCAGTGGTTCATATTCTACTCTAGAACCTGATCTAGAGTAAGTCAGAGAACTGAGTCTCAAAAAAATAACAGCAACATTCACAGAAGAGAGGGTCTCAAGTAGTTTTGCATTAACACACCATCTGCAATTTGATATGCTCAGAAGACACTAGTAAGTTGTACTTGGTATATTGGGATTCTAGCATGTCAGCACCAGATCTGAGTTAGCAAATAACTGAGGGAAAAGCACCAAAGAAAAGAGGAGGGTAGGGGCGCCTGGGTGGCTTAGTCGGTTAAGCGTCCGACTTTTGCTTAGGTCATGATCTCACGGTTCGTGGGTTCGAGCCCCGCGTCGGGCTCTGTGCTGACTGCCGGCTCAGAGCCTGGAGCCTGTTTCAGTCTGTGACTCCCTCTCTCTCTGACCCTCCCCTGCTCATGTTGTCTCTCTCTCTCTCCTAGAAATAAATAAAACATTAAAAATATTTTTAAAAAAAAAAGAGGAGGGTATGTCTCTAGAAATGCTTTTTCTGTTCTTTTCAAATGTAAAGTTCCATTATTAGGATTAACAAATTAATGATGATTAATACCTAATATTATAGAAGATAGAACACAAAAATGTACATAATAAATGTAAAATAATAAAATAATGATACTCTCAGCGTTGAGATTTTACTGTTTGTAAAATATTCATATATATTAGTTTGAACTACTCATACAGTCCAGTAAAGTAGTTTAAAAGTGAAGGGAATACAAACAGGGGGAAGAGCCATTCTTTCCACAAAGCCAACGGTGCGGAAGTCCAGGGCACCACGGAAATTAGACTAAGGTAGCTCTGCCCTGAAATTCCCCCAGTGAGTTTCCCAGTGACTGGGAAAGCCCTATGCTCGCCCTCCCGCACTCCTCCCATGGAGAGAGACTGTCCTCTAGTGGTAGAAGAAGAAAACAGCCTGTCCCTTGGCCCCAACAAAGATGCAATAAAGCTATGACATAGTGGTAGATAGGTTTATGGAGTAACTCCTTGAAATTTTGAATTCTATCTTTTGAACCAAAGGAAGGTCAGATACTTTGCAGACATAAATGTAAGTTTAAAAATATTTCATATATATAATCATGATATAAATACTGAGTGCCTTAGAAAAACAAGAGGTTTTTTTTTTTTGTTTAAGTCTTGTTGGCAAAGGACACACTCATGCTTTCAGGGCCCATTTCTCTTTTTCTGCTGCAGTTACCGATGCCTGGCTCTCCTGTACTGGCGGATGTTTCGACTCAAAAGGGACCATGCTGTGAAGTACTCAAAAGCACTTATCGACTATTTCAAGGTACTTTCTGGCTAATGGGCAACGTTATTGGTTGTATCCACTGGTCTCGCTGTCATGGACATTTTTGAGGAGCCTGTAGAGTCCATGGCTTTGGGAGTAATACAGGAACCCTCTGATATCAACAGTAGCCCCCTTCATGACATACTTATGATGTTCAGGGCTCAAAGAATGGCCTTGAGAGTCCAGCTAATTTATCTCCCTGCCTTGTGTCTGAGTATTTGTATGGCCTCAAGAGAAAGAAAATCAGTGTTCTAGGAAATTCCTCTTTATAGCTAACAAATTCCTCATGTTCATTTAGAGCTTCTTCCTCCTAGAAGTAACTGCTTAGAAGTTTCTCACAGCTCTCTCCAGTAGCTAATTTAACTTTTAATAATCATAAAAAAACATCGTTTTAAATGATAAAAACTGGCTTGTTAGAACTCAGAGGCACTAGGACAGCAGCAGTGGGTAAATATAAGGGTAGGATTGGAAAACATGCTAATTTTTGCCTATCTTAGGAAATGAAATCATTTTCATTGGGAGAACAAAAAAGAAAACCTCTGATGTACTTGTGCAGTAGGCATGAAGTTGTAATTCATCTGAGATTTCTAGGCCTCTTTGCTGTACATTTGTCTATAGAAACAAGAAATTATAGCATTTCCACCTCCACCAACCCCATGTCAGATACACCATCATTTTAGATCTTTTAACCCCCAGTCTTAACTTCTTAGAGATCATCTCAGATGACCAGGCTATGTTGAAGGTTCTGTGGGCTATGACCAGCATGCCACCTCCTTTCTGGCCATATGTGTAAAGTAACCAGGTGCTGAAGCAAGGAGGTAACTGTTTTGATGCATTGAACATTCTGTATCATAATGACAAGAACAGACACTAAGCCTATTCCTTTACTTTGAGGGCCTACGATCAAGAGAAGTGGTTTCCAGAAAGTCAGAATCTAAGAGCTAATACTAAAAAGCACTATTACAGTAAAAAAAAAAAAAAAAAAAAAAAAAAAATCTCGAATAAAAAAGGAATCTGAACTCTGTAAGCCACAGAGGTTACAACAGAACTTTTAATTCTTAGCCTATGTATGCCATCTATGAATATGTACAGAATGGACAAAAAACACAACTTAAACATCACAGTTTCCTCTCCAGGGGTCATTGGTAACTATCCTTTATCAAAGCCATTTAAATGCCTTTAAGTGTAAAGTTCAGAGATTGTGAGGGCGCCTCAGTTGGTTGAGCATCAGACTTTGGCTCAGGAGATGATCTCTCAGCTTGGGGGTTCAAGCCCCACCTCAGGCTTTGTGTTGACAGCCTGCTTCAGATTCTCTGTCTCTCAGTCTCTCTGCCCCTTCCCTGCTTATGCTCTCTCTCTCTCCCAAAAATAATCACTAAAAAAAGATTTTTAAATTCAGAGATTATGAAACCTTCAGGTGGCAATGATAATTTGTCCACAGACAGTATGTTTTATCAATACAGAGCTGCCTGTGAAAAAAGGACTTGATTCCCACTCATGCTTTTAGTCACAGGGCTTACAGGTAGTAAAAGAGGCATGAAGGCAAAAGCAGAATTGCCACCTGTAAGGCCATTTCTTACCATTCTGGTAACACCTCCGCTAAAAATTAAGAGTCACTCACACTTCATAAAGTCCTTTTTAACCAAAAGAAACACCTTGTCTCTGGGGAACCAGGCTGAGGCTCTTTTCTTCTCTCTGGAAGGCAAAATTCACATCAGTATCATAAAGACCATTTTTTTCCTTAATAGTCCCATAGACTTATGTCCAAGAACGCATTATCAGGCTCTCAGAGAGGAAATCTTTCTATACATTGAGCAGCATTTCTTGCCAAAGGCAAAGCTTCTTTTCAATGCCTGATGAAAACAACTGGCTCATGTAACATAACATCCTAAATCAAAATATTCAGATAAGTCAGTTTTTGAATACTCTGTGAAGGACATATATTTTAATCTGTTCTTTTAGAAAACTTCAACAGCAATTTCCTTTAAGAGAAATACTTCTAAACTTCACTAGTCAAGACAACAGAGTCTGATGTCTCATATATTTGCGGGCATTAAATGTATAGCAGTAGTTTCTGCAGATATGCCTTACATTTAAATATAAGGTGTTCCCCATGGGTGTGGTAGGGGGAAGGTGTGATCCTGCTCTTTTTTCCTTTTTAGAAAAATTTAGCTAGTTAAAAAAACTTAGGCTGGCTCAGGATTCAGTGGACCCTCAGGCTTATGATTTGGTGCATGAAAACCCAGACTGCGGGGTGAGCTAGCTCTTCACCGTAGCCCACTGCAGACGCCTGCAGGCCATGCAGCTGCCCCCCACCAGCTTCCAGAAAAGAAACCAGTAGCCTAGTAATTGTAACTTCCCAGATCCAATTTCTGCGAATCTTCATTTTATCTGCAGTGTCTGCCATTACTTCTCTCAACGGTCACCTGAGAACATGTTATTGTCAGCTGTTTAAACTTAAACAGATGGTACTCACTGTCAACGTTTTTCTTTTCCTGCAGAATTCATCTAAAGCTGCCCAAGCCCCGTCTCCATGGGGAGCCAGTGGAAAGTAAGTTCATTTCTCCCAAATAAAGGTGATAAATGAGGCACTGCATGATGCTGGGCCGTGTGCTGCTTTGCTTACAGCGCCCTGGGGGGCTGTTCTACCCCGCCTAGTACCAGCCCCCGTACTCTTATGTTTTTCTCTGCTCTCCCCTTCCAGGAGCACTGGAACCCCATCCCCCATGTCTCCCAACCCCTCTCCGACCAGCTCTGTGGGATCTCAGGGGAGCCTCTCCAATGCCAACACCCTGTCCCCTTCAACCATCGTCAGCATCCCACAGCGCATCCACCAGATGGCAGCCAACCACGTCAGCATCACCAACAGCATTCTCCACAGCTATGACTACTGGGAGATGGCAGATAACCTGGCCAAGGAAAACAGAGGTGTGTGGGCCTCTAGAGAGCATGTGTGTGGTTCCGCCACAACTCAGGGAGCCGGCCTGACCTAGGACATTATTGAGCAAGTTTTCATCATTTACCAGAGGAAACATTGTAGAAGCTATGCAGAACTTTTCCTCACCTCCTGCCCTCACTCCGGACCTCCCGTGCCTTGACCTACCTTCATCTTGACTATAGGAGATTAGAGATGGAGGTGGACATAGATATGATACAGATACATAGAAATGATGTAGATACAGATATAGATGTATACACATATGCTCTTCCTTGCGACAATGAGCTCCATGAAGGTAGGGACAACATTCTATCCAGCTTGGCGTTCCCAAGACCTGCACAGTGCCTAGAACACAACTGGGGATCCAAAACATTTAATAATTAATGAGGATGAATGTTCCTGGCTACCTAAGTGATAGCTGCTTACCACTGAAAAGAGAGTGTTTTATAGGCAGCAGTAAATTCTGTTTCTCTTTAAGTAAGGTTTGTTTTCACAGATTATAAAACAAATGCATGTCTACTGTGGCTGAATTTGTAAAGTGTGGAAAACTACAGGGAAACACATTTTTTAATTACCAGTAATCTTATCACCAAGCAATAATTACTGTTAACATTCTACCAAAGTTTCTTCTAGTCTTCAAACACGTATGATTCTTGCCAAAGTAAGGTTGTTGTCCATGTACGGTTTTATATCCTGTTTCCATTTAACATTATATCAGGCATTTCCCCATGCCACTAACTAGTTCAAAAACATCTTTTATGATGTTCTAGAAGACTGTCATAATAGTGGTTATACAGTCATAAAGTATCATGATTTCTCAAAAACATTTTCTTCTTGTTGGACATTTATACCACTTCCAGTTTTAGTTCTACTATTACAGATAATGTTATGACAAATATCCTCATATAAATCCTTGTCAGGATTCTGATTATTTTCATAGGAGGGAGAATTTGGGGGTCAATAAGCATAGATTCTTTTAAGACATATATTGTTCCATATCTTGATATATATTGTTAACTTTTTTCCCAAAAGATTATACTAATTTACTACTCTCCCTCCCACAGCAGGAAAGCACAAATCTGAGCTCACTTTCAAGCCATTAAGTGTGAATTCTGTTCCCATTATAGCATAAGCTTCTGAGGACCAGACCAGAATGTTCACAATGAGATGGCACAGATAAGCACATGGGTCCTGGATACATGAAATTGATAATAAAACCAGACAGTATATAACATGCATCCCAGAGCTGGCACACCCTGAAAATCTAACGGGAATGCCGGGAGGTCGGTGCCAGGGGACTGAGGCCGCCAGGAGAGGCCTGCTAGAGGAATTGACGTGGAATAGGGTTTGGAAAAGCAAATAGACATTGTGTGGCTGAGATGGAGTGGGGTGGGCATCCCCGGCTGACAAAACAGAAAAGACAGGATGTATAAAAATTGACATGGCCAGTTTGGGAGACTCTGAGCAGGCCACACTCCAGATGGCACTGCCAGCTGCCTACTGGATGTCTCCTACCAGAGGGCTCGATGTTCCATGTCCAGTGTAAAGTCGGCATTATTTCCTGGACCTGCCCCTCCCCCCCATTCTGCTCCTGGATTGCTGCCTTGGCTTCCCTCCCTACCACCTAGGAGTCCTCTCTAACCTCTCCCTTGCCTTCTCCAGCAGGACATCATTCAGCGAGTGTATGTACACCTTTGAAAAACTTCTTCCAGATACTCACTTCCAAGGACTGTGGTTCAGTCATCAGTTATGACAGCATAACAGCCATATAAATTTGTCTCTCTGAGCAACTATCCTGTGATCTCTGAGAGAGCGGAGCCTGCACCGTATTTATCTAGTGTACCCTCGCATCCCTCCTAATCAGGGAAATACAAATCAAAACCACACTGAGATACCACCTCACACCAGTCAGAGTGGCTAAAATGAGCAAATCAGAGAACTCTAGATGCTGGCGAGGATGTGGAGAAACGGGCACCCTCCTACACTGTTGGTGGGAATGTAAACTGGTGCAGCCCCTCTGGAAAACAGTGTGGAGGTTCCTCAGGAAACTAACAATAGAACTCCCTTATGACCCAGCAATAGCACTGCTAGGAATTTACCCAAGGGATACAGAAATGCTGAGGCATAGGAGCACATGTACCCCAATGTTCATAGCAGCACTCTCCACAATAGCTAAAACATGGAAAGAGCCTAAGTGTCCATCAACAGATGAATGGATCAAGAAGATGTGGTTTATCTATACCATGGAATACTACATGGCAATGAGAAACAATGAAATCTGGCCATGTGTAGCAACATGGATGGACCTTGAGGGTGTTATGCTGAGCGAAATAAGTCAGGCAGAGAAGGACAAATATCATATGTTTGCACGTATAGGAGGATTAGGAGGAACTTGACGGAGGAACAAGGGGGAGAAGAAGGGCGGAAATGGTGGGGGAAAGGGAGAGAGGCAAACCATGAGAGACTCTTGAATGCTGACAAAAACTGAGGACTGATGGATGTGGGGGGGAGGGGGGGATGGGCATGGAGGAGGGCACTTTGGGGATGAGCACTGAGTGTTATGTAGAAACTAATTTAACAATAAACTATTTGTAAAAAAAATAAATAAATAAAAATAAAAAAATTAAAAAAAAAAATTTCAATATCTAGTGTACCCTCTACCTCTACCCCCCGAACCTAGCACAGCACACAATAAATGCTTAACAAAGGCATAGACCTAGAGAATGTCCCGGGACTAGAAGGTGACCTCAGTGGGGATTTTTCAGAATCCGTGTCTGATCTGCCACCAGGGCTCTCGAGCCTTCTGCTTTGGACTCACTGCAGGGGTTCAGCACGTGCCACAGATGAGTACAGCTTAAGGCGGGGGAGAGCCACAACCCACATCTAGGGCAGGACACATTCATGCACAAGGACGATGCGGTCTGAGAAAGTAAATTTTCTTTGCAGTTTGGCTGAGTAAATGTTATTCATTTAAATGAGAAATAAAAGAGAGAGAGGGAGGTAAACCATAAGAAACTCTTAAATACAGAGAACAAACTGAGAGTTGCTGGAGGGGAGGGGAGAGAGGTGGACATTAAAGAGGGCACTTGTTGGGATGAGCACGGGGTGTTATATGTAAGTAATGAATCCCTAAATTCTACTCCTGAAATCATTATTATTCTATCTGTAACTAACTTGGATTTAAATAAAATTTAAAAATTAGAAAATAAATAAATAAGAAATGGCCAATAGAATTAATTGGATATAGGATGAATTGTCTACCTTTGGGTTTTATTTATGTTCAATGGAAGGCTAAAGTTGCATGATGGAGTTGAGTGCATGATTTATATAAAGACTATGAATGGAATTTTTTCTTAAGTCACTTGCATCTCTCAGGGTAGCACACTCAGCATGTGTGTCACTCAAACGACTCTCTCTGTCCCCTAGAATTCTTCAACGACCTGGATTTGCTCATGGGGCCTGTCACCCTGCACAGCAGCATGGAGCACCTGGTCCAGTACTCCCAGCAGGGCCTGCACTGGCTGCGGAACAGCACCCACCTGTCATAGAGACCTTGCCCCTGAGCTGGATTGTGCTCTCATCTCCATAGACGGCTCAATGTTTCTGGACACTGTGCTACTGAAATTCCCAGCCACAGCATTTATCAAACTGCGGTGAATATTTTCTCAGCATCGAACAATGGTCTTTTCCCAGGGCATGTGTGTTTGTATGTGTGGGCGTAAAAGAAGTTGCCTGTGTATGTGTGTAAGATATACAGCTCTTTAAAACACGGTTTTTTGTCTAGTTTCCATGATCCCAAGCTAGACAAAGTGATCAGAAGTTTCTGATTAGAGTATATACACATACACACATGCACACACACACAAGATCACACACGCACGTGCGCACACACACACACACACACACACACACTTTCTATTTCAAAGCTAAACCATGACTTCTTAGAATATTCAACCAAAATCTCATGGGTTAGTTAACCAGGTGCAATACAGCACACCAAAAGCTTGACTGCCAGTTAAGATGAACCTAGTTCTTATACTGTTGATTACTTTCAGTATTAATATACTATTCCCCAATTAATTTTTGATTGTGTGTATTAATGGGTAACTGAATAACAAAAAGAAGTCAGTTATTTTTGTGCTGGACGTTTACTAGATTGCATGTTACCAAATACCTTGCCTTTTGTCTAATACCCATCTTTCCATCCAACTTTATTATCAACTAAATGCGTTATAAGCAAATGGATCAAATCCCACAGGCCTTCCCTGCCCTGCTCCCAAAATCATATGAAAATGGCACTGGGATTTGGTAAAAGCTCAGTGTCGTTGAAACCTGATCAACATGAATAGACAACCGAGCTTGGAGCTCAGTTGGGAATTGAAACCTTCTGCACGTGGATCAGTAAGCCCATCCAGCCCACGTGTGTTTTCTTCCTGCCACTGTGACACAGCAGCCATAGAGCCACATGGCATTTGTCAGCCAATATGTTTCAAGTCTTTTCTTCCCACGATAGCTTTCTTGCAAATTTTCTTGGCCAAATTAGAACATTACCTAGAACGTCTCTTCACTAGGAGTCTGTATTTGCTGCTTATCAGGCTAAGAATTATTTGCTATCGTGAGACTGTCTGATCCTTTCACTCTTTGTACAGAATGCAGGCCTCTAAATGGCATTTTGATCTGGGGGATATGTTTCAGGCTTTGATTTGCAAGCTGCTTACTGTGCAGGGTGAGTTGTTTTTGCAGTGTTCACAAATCTGTTTGGGGTAGCAACGACCAGAACATCATGTTTGCATCCTGTACGTCTGCTATGTTTACGTCTTGCCCTTCATTCTTTTCTTTTCTTTTCTTTTAAATTAAGTTTACATTATAGTTTTTTGACATCTTGTTTACAGTTTTTGTCTGAAACTTACTTCTTTTATAGTCTCTTGTCATGCCTTAGATTTAGTCTTCTTGTTAAATATATATGGATATAAAAATACTGGTAAGAAGAAAAACTTCTGCAAAAGAGGATGTACCTTGCCATGTCCTTAAAAGCAAAAATAATGTCTTTGAAGCCTCTCACTTGACAGAATTGCACCAGGATGGTCTGAGAAAGAGACAGGTGAGATGGTATGTGGAACGCTCCATTTTCCAAGGTGATGCTGGCACAAAACAGTTGTAGTAGATTGTGATACATGCTTTCCGTGACGCTCCTACTGCTTTGGTTGTAATGTTAACATTTTTTCACCTGATCTGTACATGGGAAATAAGACTGCTGTAATTCTAAGTACTTATTCAAAACTGTACAAGTGATCGAACAACTTTGGTGATTGATTTGAAATGAATTTAAAGCGAAGAGTCCAAAGTGAAATGAAGCCAGTGAAGGGTTTGTAAGATTTTCACCTGGCTTTGGCCCTGAAACGTTACCAGTATTTCTATTTTACATTTATCCAACTGAGGGGTCCTCACATCCCTTTCACTAGCTGTTGGCAGAGTTTGCAATCCCATTCTATGTTGGAAATTTGAGTCTAACTTGGGAAATTTTGGATTTTTTTTTGGAGGACTAAAGCTATTTATTACTCTTGATGAATCCTTATGAAATGTTGAAATCCTCAAAGGGATAGGCCTCAGGGTCCATTGTGTGTCCCCAGAGTGCTTTCTGGCCCTGCCCGTCCTTAAAGCGGCCATCCTTATAGCAGCCCCTGGCAGATTGTGCCCACAGCATTTTATCAGCACCTAGGTGGCCCTTGTTTAACAAACAAAAACAAAAAACAAAAAAACAAAAAAAACTTGAAAATAGAGCATGCAGGTCCTCTCCCTGTCTTTGATCTCATCAATTGACCGTGTGAGGGCAGCAATTTTTGTTGGCTTTGGCATAGATGATTTTGGTAAGGAACCATCTTCTGATTGTTGCTTGTGAAAGTCATTCATGACTTGTTCTTTTTATTTAGCTTTGTTCTAAGTAGAAATACCTTTCTTGTGTTTTTGGATTATAAAAGTAATACATGCTCATTGTAAAGATTCAAAAAAAATGCAGCAATGTAGAAAGTAGAAGGTAGCAAGTCCCATCCCCCAAAGACGACCACTGCTCACAGTCTCGTGTATATTCTTCCACAGACACTCCCACTTCAACATACTATCGTTTTTTTCCCTTTGAAGACATATTATTTCCTCAGAAGTTCAACATAAGTTCGGCTGACCTTATCCTTCCATGACCTGAGTTTATGCCTTCCTTTATCACAATACTAGAGTTATCTTTGAAAGTAACCCAAATGTATTCCTGATCACAATTTGGGATTTGTTACTACTCTCTACAGAGATCAGACTTATGTGCAGGATTGTGCCTGGAAAGTGAAGTTTGATTAAAACAGATATTTCTGGAAACTTGCAAATTGCAGACAGAAACTCGGACCCCCTATCTAAAGAAGAATGTACTGGAAAAATAATCTGAAGAGTTGACAAATTGTGTACTAGATTGAACACATGGAATGCAATGCAATGAGATTTTCTGCACTAAAACTTATCCTAGTGTGTAAAACAATGATGTGTGTATTATATAACAGTGATGTGTACATTTCTGACATCCCATACATGATATACACAGTTTGTATAAATGCATACATTTAAAAATATATATGTACAATACAGCTAACATAAAACTGTAGTATGCCTGAAGGATATTACTAGTGCCTAACGTTGAGTATAAGTTGCTGCGTGTTCGCATCACCTTGGAAGTGCAGTAATTGTTAAAACTTAATCAGTGCAGCCAACATTATTTATGAATCACATCTTTGAAACTGTGCAGTAGTATATACATATATATTTTTAAATAACATTTTTCACAGTTTTCCAGAGTTACTGTTGAAATCTGTATCACCAAAAAAAAAAAAAAAAAACAAAAAAAGCAAGATTTTTTTAATGATGTAGACACTCTTCAGACCCAGTAATCTGTGTGTGATTTCCTGTTTGTAGATACCCAAGAGACTTTAGCAGTCACCAGCCTTAATGCATGTACAGGATATTATTGTGACTTAATTTATCTGCAGTTTTTAATCCATGTGAAATTGGAATTTATAAACTGACTTGGATTAAATATGTCTGCCTTTCTAAGGTTGCAAATGTTACATTAAATGACTTATGTTGTAAACAAGAGAAACCGAGTTGTATGTAAGAAAAAAAAAATGTCCACCAGTTTCTGTGAATATTTTTACAAGGAAACTTCAGAATCAAAATACGTTCAAATAAGAATTCTGGTCCCCAGTTCATAATGTCTTCAGAAGTAACTTTGTTGTTTCATGCATCTTTCAAATGTAGTTTCCATGGATTTTCATTACTATAGGCCTGAGATTTTTCATGGTCAAGAGCATGTTCCCCTGCATTATAGTACAGTTTACAACTTGTCTTTTCCATTTCCCGGCACATATATGCACGCCACACGTGAAGAAGAAAGTGGGAACCCCAGGGTCCCAGAAAATGCTGAATAGGAAGCTTGAGGAGTTCATACTGATGACTGTGTTGATGCCCATTGACCCAGTAGTCCTGGGATACTGGTCTTCCTAACATTCCTTAACTACACAAGTTAGTTCCCTAACTTAAATTGTGCCAGGTTTTTTCAACTCAAACCAACAAGGTGGCATAATGTTTGCAATAATTGGTTGAATAAAATAAGAGAATTTTGAACTAACGAAGATGGAAATATGAGAACAGTGGCTTGCCATTATATATCCCTCTGTGTGGGAGGGTTTTTTCTTAACCTTATTTTTACTCTTCTCTCAAAACTTTTTCAGTCCATTCCTTCCCAAAGAAGCAGAAACAGCAACAAAAACAGAACAATTATTTCACCTTACCCAGCCCATACCCTTAGATTAAAATTGTCTTGTCATGCTGGAGGACCCTAGCTCGGGGCCACCATGGAGACCACCTCCTTCCAGAGATGGCCAGGACAAGGGACTGGCTTTGCTTACTGCAGGAACCTTGGTACTCCTTTCAGAAGTGGTTTGGGCTAAGAAATACTCAACGGTCTTTCAAGAACTGCTTTTCTCTTACACACTTTGCCTGCTATTGAAGTCTATTCTAATCAGAATCACATTTTTAAGAAGTAACACATTTTCAATGAAACATGGATCAACTGGAGTCTTGAAAGGCACTTTTTAAAGAAAGAAAGAAAACCTAACAACATAAACTTCATTTCCAGCAATTTTTCAAGCACAATTTTCATTATTACAACTTCCTAACAAATAGCACAAGAAATGTTCAGACTTGAGATCTGTGTTCTCTTTGTCCAAACTGAATTTTTCTGTATATGTCATTAGAGGGGTCAATTTGTTTGTGTGGCATGAGGGAAATTATAAAACTCTGTTCTCAAACTAATTACATCTGACCACAGTTTTGGTTTTTATTATTTAATTGGCATTCTGAGCCAGCAGGGGGTAATTTAGGGCTGGCTCCAATGGGACTCAGCTTCACAGCTCTTACTCACAGTAATGGGAACCAGGGGATTAAATCTGTATGTGAATCCACTTCTAGTTAAAACCACCAGTTTTAAACACATTGATCTGAGGGATGAGTTCAAGGTACTAACTGCAAGTCAACACAATGATCGGCATTTGTCTTCAAGCATCAGGAAGGAATGATGAGGCCTGGAGAGTTGAATCAAGGACTTGTCTTCTACTCATTTCTGACCTGGGAAAAGCTCATCGGAAAATATTTAGATCCAAAGATGATGTCAAAAAGTACCAGTGTTGAGGATTTTCAAACAGCGCTGCTGGGTTAGCAAAGTAATTACAATATTCTGGTTCCTGTAGTGTTCTTCAACCCTGTTTTAGTTTCCCATAAAACAAAACTCACATTTTCCCCAGCATTTATCATCTCTTGATTTCTAGATGTCCAGATGAGCAAAGAGAAAATACTTAACACTGAGGAGTACACACTACTTGACTGAACAACATTCTACTCACAGTAGCCAAAGGTGTATGAATTATTAAAGGACCATCTTTGAGTCTCCTCTGTTACCCTCATCCTACAAAGTGAGAGAGCACAACGCCTCAAATATGGCCATGTAGTTGAGATGTCAAAAATTCTAAGCATATAACATACTCAACTTTGGTGACCGACACTTTCTTGGCATCACCAGCTATCTCTGAGGCCTATTTGCATGGTGAAATATCAATACTAACCCTTCCCTTTGAGTAACTTGCAATCTGATTATGAATGCCCTGAAGTTCCTAGGGCTGCCAGTTCAACCCAAAAATGTCCTGCCCTGTGAGCTGAGTGTATTTTTTTGTTCCTTTGGGGTTTTTCCCCATCTAAGTTCTATAAGTCAGGTTTAGTATCTTGACTTTTCAGAGGAACAGTTAATAGAGACAGTGGAAGCTTTAAGAAAACAAGGATTCAATATCAGAACTCAACGATGTTGGGATGAGAAGTCAGGAAAAATACCCAAATACTCCCCTCCTTCACCTGCTGCACCTGATCTTTGAATAAAGATTCCATATATACTTCAGTTTCCTCTATGTGAAGTGTAACTCAGAATGCCCACGACCTCAGACAGACTGTGAGGATCAACAGATCTGGGCAAGCATTTTGAGATTCCCCAGCTGTCACACTCAGCAAGAGTTACACATTATTGTCAGAACAGAGGCAACAGAAATATACTGTATCTATAGGCACCAAGATACAAAGGTGTGTGATGCAGGGCATGAGATCGTCCCAGCCTGATTAGATTCCAGAGGACCAAGAAGATGGCAGTGGGATAACCACAGACCCTTCATAAGACTCTTCAGCCTTTGTCGTTACTGCTTTGAGTCCATCCTGACTGTCGGCAGAGCTCTAAGACCAGTGTCGGGTGCGGGGGGGATC